CAATAGCCAGAGCTGGACCAGGCCAGAGCTAGGAGCCCTGAACTCCATCCCGGTATCCCACATGAATGGCAGGAACCCAAGCATGTGGGGTATCATCTGCTGTGCATTCGAAGGAAGCTGGATTGGAAGAGTGGCATATGCAGGACTCAAACCAGCATTCCATATGGTATGCAGGTGTCTCAAGAAGTAGCTTAACCTACCATGCCACACAATCCCTCCCATGGTTAATTCCCATTGTCATTCCAGGTGGCCAGTTCTGTTTTTCTCTCTTTCCGTGTGGTCAGACAAGTTTGAAGTTGTCCCAGTGAAGTTGAAGCTTACCAAACTAAGTAGAACCAACATGCTGGAATAGCCTGATCTATTTGATAAAAGCCCTAGGTACTTCACCCCCGTTAGCACATAGTCTAAGTCCTTTGCAGCAAGAGGATTCTTTTATTACTCAACTGCTTACTGTATAGCAAATGGGAACTGCCAAGAAACGTCTCATCCTGGACTGGGGGAGTCCTCATTGTTCCTCTGTCTGCTTGACTCAACTGACTGATACAGTCAGCCTTGTGTATCTGCAGGTTCCACATCCATGGGCTCAAGCAACCACTCACCAAAAATATTTGGAAAAAAATTGTGTCTGTACTGAACATGGATAGACTTTTTTCTTATGATAATTCTGGAGTGATTTAAAGAATACAGGAGAACATGCAGAAGTTAAATGCAAATACTACACCTTTTAAGGGACTTGAGCATCTGCAGATTTTGGCATCTTCAAGGGCTCTTGGAAACAATTCCCTGAAGATACTGAGGAATGACTGTATTTGTTCTGAATGTCAAGATAGCACTTCTGGGTAATTATTTCTATGTTTATTTATTTTTAAAAATTTATTTATTTATTTGCTTGAAAGACAGAGAAATCTTCTATTCACTGGTTCACTCTCCAAATGACCACAATGGCTAGGGCTGGGCCAGACTGAAACCAGAAGCCAGGAACTCCATCTCGGTGTCTCATGGGTGGCAGGGATCCAAATACTTGAGCCATCCTCTGCTGCTTTCCCAGGTATATTAGCAGGGAGCCAGATTGGAAATGGAACAGTTGGGACCAAACTGGCTCTGCAATATGGCATGCCGGAGGCACAGACAGCAGCTTAGCTCACTGCAGCAGAATGTCTGCTCCAATTTCCATATTAATTTCAATTTCATTTCAAATGAAAGAATTCATCTTGAGTGTCTCTAATAACAGTAGTAGTAACATTTAGTGAGTCTTTATTCTGCACCAGTGCCTGACACTTAATACAGACTTATTTGTTGTGTAAATGCCAGACATTGTGTTAAGTATTTTAAGTGTGTTATCTAATTTAATTCTCACAACAGCTCTTTACTAGTAATCATCTCTTCTTATTAAAAAAAAAAAAATGGGGCCGGTGCTGTGGTGCAGTGGATTAACGTCCTGGCCTGAAGTGCCAGCATCCCATATGGGCACCGGTTCTAGTCCCGGCTGCTCCTCTTCCGATCCAGCTCTCTGCTATGGCCTGGGAAAGCAGCAGAGGATGGCCCAAGTCCTTGGGCTCCTGTACGCATGTGGGAGACCCGGGGGAAGTTCCTGGCTTTGGATAGGTGCAGCTCTGGCCGTTGCAGCCAATTGGTGAGTGAACCATCTGATGAAAGACCTCTCTCTCTCTTTCTCTCTCTCTCTGCCTCTCTTTCTCTCTCTGTGTAACCCTGACTTTTAAATAAATAAATAAATCTTTGAAAAAAAAAGATATTAAAAAAAAAGAATAGTGATACAGAGAAGTTTAGAAACTATCCCAGTGCTAGTGCTGTGGTGTAGTGGGTAAAGCTGTAGCCTGCAGTGCTAGCATCCCATATGAGTGCCAGAAGAAATTCCTGGCTCCTTGCTTGGGGTTGATGGAGCTCCAGCTGTTACGGCCATTTGGGGAGTGAACCAGTGGATGGAAGATCTCTGTCTGCCTCACTGTAACTCTGCCTTTCAAATAAATAAATAAATATTAAAAAGAAGAAGAAGCTATCCCAGGATTCAGAGCGAGTAAATGCTGGAGCCAGGTTTTGAATCCAAGCCATCTCTCTCTTTTTTTGCTAACTGTCAGCAAAATAGGCCAATCCTTGTTATAGAACTAAGGGCAGAAATTCGCATGGATTGCAGGATGAGCTAAAACTAGGAGCAAGAAAGTTGTTAGCAACCCAGGTCATGTTATTCCTGTGTTTTTTGTCCGCTTTTCAGACTAGAAGTGGTACCCTTGATAGGCAAAGGGGAAATGCCGACAAATTCATGCAGTAGATCCTTTGATTGGTCCCAACGTCTGACTCCCTTTGGAGGATCCCAGCACTGCCCCTCCTCCCTTTGTGGCCTGGACCAACTGATTCCATTTCTTTGGGCCTCAATTTCCATGTTTATAAAATGAGAAGTATTTTTTTTTTGAGATTTAAAAGTATTTATTAGAGTCAGGGACTTCCAGCCAGAGCAGCGTGGATGGGGGCTTCCAAGAGAGGAAAACCCAAAGGGACTGGTGGCAGTCGGCTTTAAGTACAATTTAGAAGAAAAAAAAACTTGACAATCAGATTGGCATTCAGTTACCAGGTGGGGACAAAAAACATCAAAAGACCTCATTTACAGTTTTCCATCCTGTCTGGCCTGCTAAGGGTGGGATAGGTAACTTGTTTTCACAATAAGCTATGAACTTAGGAAGAACTCCCTTGCTATAAATGAGAAGTTTTTTTTAATATTTATTTTATTTGAAAAGCAGAGTTACAGAGAGAGAGAGAGAGAGAGAGAGAGAGAGAGAGATTTCTTCCATCCACTGATTTACTCCCCAAATGGCTACAACAGGCAGAGCTGGGCTGATCTGAAGCCAGGAGCCAGGAGCTTCTTTTGGGTCTCCCACATGGGCACAGGGGCCCAAATACTTGAGCCATCTTCCGCTGCATTAGCAGGGAGCTAGATTGGAAGTAGAGCAGCTGGAACTCAAATTGGCACCCACATGCGATGCCAGCACTGCAAGTGGCAACTTTACCTGCTATACCACAGCACCAGACCCAAAATGAGCTATTTTATCAGAGGACTCCTCATCTACCTTTCACCTCTAAAATTCTGTAATCCTAAGTGAATCTTCTGGGCAGAAGTGCATTAATAATGCAGTTGAATATGTGGGTTTTGGGGGAAAGAATAGGGAAGGGTTGTAAAGAAAACAGAATAAAGGTTTGGTTAGAATCTCAATGTGAACTACTGCTTAGAGCTGATGTCAAGTGAAGACCTTCCAGGAGATATAAATGGGGGATGGAAAAGGCTTCTACTAACATTGATCAGACCAGATCACTTTGAGTGGCATCTCTGTGATTCAGGAGTAATTCTGTGTGTAGCGGAAGTAGCCTCTTGCGTGGTTTAATCTGATTTGTCTTTTCTCAGCTTAGAGTTTTCTATAGGACTTCCACATAGGCCACAGAGAAAGAGCTAAAAAGAAAACACAAATATTTGAGTGACCAGGGTGGGCATTGTGGCACAACAGATTAAGCCACTACTTGGGATGCCCATATCCCATATCAGAGTGCCCATCCGAGTCCTGATTACTCCATTTCCAATCCAGCTCCCTGCTAATGCATCTGAGAAGTAGCAGATGATGGCTCAAGTACTTGGATCCTTGCCACACACATGGGGGACCCAGATAGAGTTCCTGGCTCCTGGCTTCAGACTGGCTCAGGCCCAGCTGTTGAGGCCATTTGGGGAATGAGCAGCAGATGGAAGACATCTCTCTCTCTGCCACTCTGCCTTTCAAATAAATCTTAAAACCAAAACATTTAAATGACCTAATGAGCAAGATATATATCTCCTGGTCTGTTTCCTTATCCCAAAGTTGAAAAGTTTGATTTATGTCATCTCATGGGCTCTGCCCAGCTCTTAACATTTTGCAATTCTGGATAGCTATTCAAAAGCAGTTCTTATTTTCCTGAGTGCTGCATCCTTGTGCGATACCTTTGTCTTCATGTGTCCTCCCTGTTTATACCTGGCTGCCCAGTTCCTTTTTCCTAGGCCCCCTTTTTTCCTTAATTTCCTCAAATCTAGGGTCGGCATTGTGGCTTAGTAAGTTAAGCTGTCAGCTCTGACGCCGACATCCCATAAGAGGTCCATTTCCAGTCCTGTCTGCTCCACTTCCAATTCATCTCCCTACTAATACTCCTGGGAAAACAGAGGAGGATGGCTCAGGTGCTTGGACTCCTGCACCCACATGGGAGACCTGGATGAAGCTCCTGGGTTCTGCCTGGCCCAGCCCTGGCCATTGAGGCCATTTTGGGGAGTGAGGCAGTGTTTGGAACATAGCTCTGTCCCCCAACCCCCTCTGCCTTTCAAATAAATAATCTTTTTTTTTTTTGACAGGCAGAGTGGACAGTGAAAGAGAGAGACAGAGAGAAAGGTCTTCCTTTGCCATTGGTTCACCCTCCAATGGCCGCCATGGCCAGTGCGCTGCAGCCGGTGCACTGCACTGATCCGAAGCCAGGAGCCAGGTGCCTCTCCTGATCTCCCATGCGGGTGCAGGGCCAAAGGACTTGGGCCATCCTCCACTGCACTCCCGGGCCACAGAAGAGAGCTGACCTGGAAGAGGGGCAACCGGGACAGAATCCGGCGCCCCGGCCGGGACTAGAAACCGGTGTGCCAGCACTGCAGGCGGAGGATTAGCCTATTGAGCCGCGGCGCCGGCCGTCAAATAAATAATCTTAAAACGGTGTTCTTAGATCCTACTTGCTCTTGGCTCCTTTGTACCCTCTTTGTTTTCCTATACTTTTCTGCAGATCCTCAGCTTCCACTCCTGGCTCCCAGATCTCCATCTCCATGTCTGCCCAGTCCTCTTTGTGTTTCTAGCTCCTAACTCAAGCTATCTCCTTGGGTGCCTCTACAGGTCCCCTGGGATCCCCTATCATTGTCCTTCTCACAGCGCACACCCTTCCCCAGAGCCTAGGGATCAGGTATGCTGTGGCTCAGGTGACAAACCTGCTGTCAGGTTACAGGTACTATTTCCTGAAAGAGCAGACCACAGTGTCAGCAGAGCCTCAGGCTGCCTGCAGTGCCCTACCATCACCTGGCTGGCCCACACAAGGTGAGAATAACCAGAACTCACCCGGAAACATGGCTGTGAGCCTTCGGCCCCTGTTGCTGCTGCTGTCCTGTGCAGGTGAGAGGCATAATGAGCAGGGCTGGGGGTGGAGGGAAGGACAGCTGGAATGAGAATTAGGAGTGCAGAGGTTACCCAGTTAGAAGAAAGGGGAAGGAGCAAGCAAGACGGGCAGAAGCTGGAGCAGAGGGAGAAAATGAGGGTTGAAAAAGCAGCCCAACGTCTACTGTGGGTTGATGAGAGCACCCAGCTCACCATCCCCTTGCCTCATCTTTAGACCCAGTCAGGGAACGGTGCCCAGGGGCAGGGCTCAGTTGGGCTCCAGGTTCCTCCCCTTCAGTGATCTCTGGTTTCTCTCCTTGCAGTGACTCTGGCCCCTAATGGATCTCAGTCTCTGGACCGTGGTCTCTCCTTCCTGAAGTCATTGCTCTCCACTCTGGACCAGGCTCCCCAGGACTCCCTCAGCCACTCCAGGATCTCTGCATTCCTGGCCAATATTTCTTCTTCCTTTGAGCTTGGGAGAATGGGAGAGGGTCCTGTAGGGGAGCCTCCACCTCTCCAGCCCCCTGCACTTCGGCTCCATGATTTCCTAGTGATGCTGAGAGGCAGTCCGGACTGGGAGCCGATGCTTGGGCTGCTGGGGGACGTGCTGGCACTGCTGGGACAGGAGCAGACTCCCCGAGATTTCCTGGTGCACCAGGCAGGTGTGCTGGGTGGACTGGTAGAGGTGCTGCTGGGAACCTTAGTTCCTGGGGGGCCCCCTGCCCCAACACGTCCCCCATGCACCCGTGACGGGCCCCCCGATTGTGTCCTGGCTGCTGACTGGTTGCCTTCTCTATTGCTATTGTTAGAAGGCACACGCTGGCAGGCCCTGGTGCAGGTGCAACCTAGTGTGGAACCCACCAATGCCACGGGTCTCGACGGGAGAGAGCCAGCCCCTCACCTTTTGCAGGGTCTGTTGGGTTTGCTTACCCCAGCAGGGGAGCTAGGCTCCGAGGAGGCTCTTTGGGGCGGTCTGCTGCGCACAGTGGGGGCACCCCTCTATGCTGCTTTCCAGGAAGGGCTGCTCCGTGTCACTCACTCCCTGCAGGATGAGGTCTTTTCCATTCTGGGGCAGCCAGAGCCAGATGCAAATGGGCAGTGCCAGGGAGGTGAGTGCTGCCAGGCCTGGGGGCTGGGATGTGGCAGGGCAAGAAGGGTGAGCCTGGGGTAGTGCCCTTCCTTACTCTTTCCCTCCTAGGTAACCTTCAACAGCTGCTCTTATGGTAAGTGACAGGGGACCACTTCTGAGGGATTGGGTCTGGGGAATCCAGAGGTGGCACCCTCAAAGCCTCAGCCTCCTGAGTTCAAGAGAAAACTAACAAGAGGAGGGTGGATTAGCGACTTTGGAGGGCAGCTGTCCCAGCCCCATCTCTTCCTAGCCATGCGACTTGGGCAGCTTACATACCCATTCTATGCCTCAGTTTCCCCATCTGTAAAATAAGGATGATAATATTGGCTACCTCAGAGTTACTGTAAGGGATTAAATGAGTTTATATTGTATGTACTTAGTGCAGTACCTGACACATAGTGCTTACTAAATATTAACTAAAAAAGATATGTGTGGGGGAAAAAGACTAAGTGCTTTTGCCCCCCGCTATTTTGGTCCAACAGGACCAGAGCACAGCTGGACATACTCAGTTGCTGGGCAGATTTCCTCATAAGAGGGTGGTGTTTAAGCTACCTAAAAGCACGTGAAGAAATGAGAAACAAGGGGATCGGGTGGACAGCTGGGACTCCAGCTGGGCTTCTCTTTCGTGCCTCAGTGGCACAGACCTTTCTCCCCTCCCCCTCATCTCAGCATTTGAGCCCGTGACACCTGTATCTGGGGCATCTCACTTTTGGAGAAGCCTCTGTTTGCCACACCCTTGCAAGGCTCTGGGCCAGGGTCAGCAGCTTCAGCTGGAAGAAATGTGAACTGACCAGATCCCACCTGCTCCCCTCCCTGTACCCAGGGGTGTCCGGCACAACATTTCCTGGGATGTCCAGGCACTGGGCTTTCTCTCTGGATCGCCTCCTCCGCCCCCTGCCCTGCTCCACTGCCTGAGTGCCGGTGTGCCTCTGCCCAGGGCGTCCCAGCCCTCAGCCCACATCAGACCTCGCCAGCGGAGAGCCATCTCTGTGGAGGCCCTCTGCGAGAACCACTCCGGCCCAGCACCACCCTACAGCATTTCCAACTTCTCCATCCACTTGCTCTGCCAGCACGCCAAGCCTGCCACCCCACAGCCCCCTCCCAGCACCGCTGCCACCTGCCAGACAGCTGTGTGGTATGCAGTCTCGTGGGCCCCAGGGGCCCAAAGCTGGCTACAGGCCTGCCACGACCAGTTTCCCAATCAGTTTCTAGATGTGATCTGTGGCAACCTCTCCTTTTCAGTCCTGTCTGGCCCCAACCGCCGCCTGGTAAAGCGGCTCTGTGCTGGCCTGCTCCCACCCCCCACCAGCTGCCCTGAAGGCCTGCCCCCTGTTCCCGTTACCCCAGAGATGTTCTGGGGTTGCTTCTTAGAGAACGAGACTCTGTGGGCTGAGCGACTGTGTCGGGAGGCAAGTCTGCAGGCCGTGCCCCCCAGCAACCAGGCTTGGATACAGCATGTGTGCCATGGCCCCACCACAGATGCTACTGCTTCCCCGCCCTGCCACATCGGACCCTGTGGGGAGCGCTGTCCAGATGGAGGTGGCTTCCTGGTGATGGTCTGTGCCAATGACACCATGTATGAGGCCCTGGTGCCCTTCTGGCCTTGGCTAGCAGGCCAGTGCAGGATAAGCCGTGGGGGCAATGACACTTGCTTCCTAGAAGGGCTGCTGGGCCCCCTTCTGCCCTCTCTGCCACCACTGGGACCATCTCCACTCTGCCTGACCCCTGCTCCTTTCCTGCTTGGCATGCTGTCCCAGTTGCCACGCTGTCAGTCCTCTGTGCCAGCCCTTGCCCACCCTACACGCCTGCACTATCTCCTGCGCCTGCTGACCTTCCTCTTGGGTCCAGGGGCCGGAGGGGCTGAGGCCCAGGGGACGTTGGGTCGTGCCCTGCTTCTTTCCAGTCTCCCAGACAACTGCTCCTTCTGGGATGCCTTCCGCCCAGAGGGCCGGCGCAGTGTGCTGCGGACAGTCGGGGAGTACTTGGAACAGGAGGAGCAGCCGACTCTGCCAGACTTTGAACCTACCGTCAGCCACAGCTCTGGAATAGGCAAGATGGAGCTGCTGTCCTGCTTCAGCGTGAGTGATCTGCCAGGGTGCAAGCTCCAGGGGAGTTCTTCTAATCCGAGAGGTAGTCATGAGAGTGCAGTGGTTTAAGCACACCACTCCAGCTTCAAACAGGCTTGCAGTCACATCTTAATTCTGTGATCAAACTTGGGCAAGTTACTTAGGCTTTCTGGCAATATTGTTCCCATCTCTCTCCCTTTTAAAGATTTATTTTATTTATCTGAAAGGCAGAGAGAGGGAGGGAGAGAGAGAGAGAGAGAGAGAGAGAGAGAGAGATCTGCTGGTTCACTCGCCAAATGGCTACAATGGCTCATGCTGAGCCAGGCCAAAGCCAGAAGCCAGGAGCTTCCTCATGGTCTCCCACATGGGTGCAGGGGCCTAGAGATTGGGGCCATCTTTCTCTGCTTTCCCAGGAAGCGGAGGCTGGGTTGGAAGTGGAGCAGCCCAGACTCAAAATGGTACCCATATGTGGGATGATGGCATTGCAGGCAGCAGCTTAATCTGTTGTGCCTCAATGCCAGCCCTTCTCTTCCCATCTCTACATTGTGACCAGTGTTTTAGCATGGCTTTAAGGACTATATGAGATCATACATGCTGTGGGCTAGCACAGAACATGATATTTAAATCTACAGTCAGTGTTAACTCATAATTTCAAAAGAAAAGGGATCAAATTTAGGGGCCCTACCAAGTGAGAATTGGAGGCTGACAGAATACAGGAAGATAAGGCAGGAATGAGGAAGACCTGGGCGGGACTACAAGTCAGAAGACTTTGGTTCTAGGCTCAACTATGCCAAGTAGTGTGATCTTAGGCAAGTAATTGAATTTAGTTTTTTTTCTAGGCATGCTCTAATCTCTGTGGAGTAAAGTGCTGCTATATGTTATATTCTGTAATCTATCCATCGAGTGCTCATTATGTGCAAGGATATTTAAAGACTCCTCAGGGCCTACTTTCTCAAGTCCTGGGCCCAGTGAAGTGCAATTAGATAGATGCATAGTAATTTGGTTCAGATCTACAAGTGTTTATTGAGTCAACTGTGGACATGTCATGAGAGAAGGCACAGGACAAGTTAGAGACAAGATCCTGCACCTAAAAGAGCTTGTTGCTATCTGAAGAGAAATGCAGACCAGCTTCAGATGAGGCATAAGCAACCCAGACAGTGGAAGTTGGTGCCTGTGGGGGCTGCAGGAGGGACTGAGGAGGCAGCTGTCTTGGCTTCTTGTTTTCTCTCCACCAGCCCGTGCTGTGGGATCTGCTCCAGAGGGAGAAGAGTGTCTGGGCCCTGCAGATTCTAGTGCAGGTAACAGGTGGTGGGGCACACAGGTGGGCTGAGTGACAGCTGGGGTCTGAGGTCCCTGCCCAGTGAGGCCCTAGCTACCATGACCTCCTTTTCCCAGGCATATCTGCACATGCCCCCGGAAAATCTCCAGCAACTTGTGCTTTCCGCAGAGACAGAAGCTGCCCAGGGCTTCCTGACACTCATGCACCGTTCCTGGGCCCAGCTGCAGGTGGGCATAGAGAGAGAGGGAGCCAAGGTGGAGTGGGAATCTGGAGATTAAGCACCTCAGGAACCTAACTTTTGCCTTATTGGGAGGAGGACATCTAGAGGGGGGAGTGGCAAGGCCACTGAGCACCTCCAGAGACAGCATCCATTCCTCTGCCCCACAGGTACCACCATCGGAGGAGCAGGCCCTGGGTCGCCTGACAGCCCTGCTGCTCCAGCGGTACCCACGCCTGACCTCCCAGCTCTTCATTGACCTGTCACCACTCATCCCCTTCTTGGCTGTCTCTGACCTGATGCGCTTCCCACCATCCCTGTTGGCCAATGACAGTGTGTAAGGTTCCACACGCTGCTCCTCGCAGGGTCAGGCCCACCCCATGTCCGTGGAGCAGTCCCTTTCAGATGTCTTTTCCATTGAAACCAAGAAGAATCTCCTCCCTGTTCATGAGAGCAGGGCAATAGAGAGTAAGGGGAAAATGGTTTGGAACAAGGCAGAGAGTTAAGACCCATTTCTCTCTCCAGCCTGGCTGCCATCCGGGATTACAGCCCAGAAATGAGGCCTGAGCAGAAGGAGGCTTTGGCAAAGCGACTGTTGGCCCCTGAGTTGTTTGGGGAAGTGCCTGCCTGGCCCCAGGAGCTGTTGTGGGCAGCCCTGCCCCTTCTCCCCCACCTCCCTCTGGAGAACTTTCTGCAGCTCAGCCCTCACCAGGTATGAGAATCATCCTGTTTACTTGATGGACCCGTCTTCTGCTAGTGGGATGGGAGTCAGTGACATGTGTCCTAGTGTGCCCCCCTGTGCAAATGTCCAACAGTGAGCTGACCCTCCCAATCTCAGATCCAGGCCCTGGAGGACAGCTGGCCAGCAGCAGGTCTCGGGCCAGGGCATGCTCGACACGTGCTGCGCAGCCTGGTGAACCAGAGTGTTGAGGATGGCGAGGAGCAGGTGCGCAGGTGAGTGGTTATGGCATCAGTGGCTACAGCCAGAGTGCAAGAGGTAGAGAGGGGCAGGTAGAACTGCCATGATGGGTTGGCACCCTGGCAAGGAAGGGACATGGGAGTAGGCAGTGGCCCCGGGCGGTCTTGGACTCCAGAAGAGAGGCCTCTGTAAGACATCCCTGTCTTAGTACTGGCTTCAGGGACCACACAAAGGCTAACTTCATGACCTCCTTAGGCTTGGGTCCCTTGCTTGTTTTCTGAGCCCTGAAGAGTTGCAGAGCCTGGTGCCCTTGAATGATCCAATGGGGCCAGTAGAACGGGGGCTGCTGGAATGTGCGGCTAATGGGACCCTCAGCCCAGAAGGACGGGTGAGCACCTGGGCACAGCCCTGTAGGACTTCAGGCTTCTCCTGGGTCTATCTGAATGATTTCCACAGCGGTGTCAGCCGAGCTTGAGTAGAGTGGTGCCAGCAGCCTCCCCACCTCTGCCACCTCTACTCCTTCCTCCATGGCTCTTCTTATCTGTTACCACCTCTCCCTGGCCCCACCCTATGTAGCCCACGATAGCTCAAGCACACCCTTTGCCATCTTGAACCTCATCAACTCTGGTCCCGTTCCTGGTCCCAAGCCCTAACCTGCCCAGGCCCTGGGAAATCCAGCTGCAGAGAGATGCCTAAGGATCCTCTGTCTTTCCTCGCCAGTCTCAGACCTCTTTGGTTGCAGGTGGCGTACGAACTTCTGGGGGTGTTGCGCTCATCTGGCGGAGCCGTGCTAAGCCCCCGAGAGCTGCGAGCCTGGGCTCCTCTCTTCCCTCAGCTGGGCCTCCGCTTCCTGCAGGCGCTCTCAGAGCCCCAGCTTCGAGCCATGCTTCCTGCCCTGCAGAGAACCAGTGTCACCCCTGCCCAGGTGGGCCTGTCCCACTCCCAGTGCAGGGGTCCCCTCAAGCCCTCCTTCCCCTGGGGATCACCCAGAGGTGAACCCTGTCCCCAGCACGTCACCCTCATTGCCTTTCCCCAGCTGGGGAAGGACTTTGAGGCAGGCCGATTACTGAGGGTGTTGAAAGGGGGCTGGAAGTTTTGGAGGGGCTGGCCCTAGGGACCTGCTTAGGACTTGGCTGCTGGGAGCTGAAAGCTGTTATTTCTTGTCCCATCCCAACCCAGGCTGTCCTATTGCTTGGCCGGCTCCTCCCTAGGCACGATGTGAGTAGCAGCAGATGTCGCCTGGAGGTCTCTGTCCCTGTTTTTCTTGGCTCCTGTATCAGCTCTTGCCTTCCTTTCGTCTCACCTCATCCCTGTCGCCTTTGCTGCCTTGTGATGTCTTCCCCATCACTCTGCCCTTCTTCAGCCCTCCCATCTCTCTTGTTCCTCAGCTGTCCCTGGAGGAACTCTGCTCCTTGCACTCTCTGCTGCCAGGCCTCAGTCCCCAGACACTCCAGGCCATCCCCAGACGAGTTCTGGTTGGCGCCTGTTCCTGCCTGGCCCCGGAACTGTCGCGTCTCTCAGCCTGCCAGACTGCAGCACTGCTTCAGACCTTCCGGGTATGAGCAGGAGGGGAGGGGGAGGCACTCAGGGTTGTGGGCTCTGCTGGGGAGGAGGGCATCTTCCTGTAGCCAGGGAAGTCGTCTCAAATCTCCCCCCTCCCTTGCATACTCACATACTTCCCCAATTCTTTTTTTAAAGATTTATTTATTTATTTGAAAGGCAGAATGACTGGGGGATGGGGTGGGTAGGGAAGAGATCTTCCATCCACTGGTTTACTCCCTAGATGGCTGCAATGGCCAGGGCTGGTCTAGGCCAAACCCAGGAGCCGGGAACTCCATTCTGATCTCCCACATGGGTGCGGGAGCCCAAGTCCTTGGACCATCGTCTACTCCTCCAGGTGTATTAGCAGGGAGCTGGATTGGAAGTGGAGCAGCTGGGGCTCAAATTGGAGCTCACATGGGGTGCCGGTGTGGCAGGCACAGCTTAACTTACTGAACCCCCTCTCCCCCAATTCTCATGCAGGTGAAAGATGGCGTTAAAAACGCGGGTACAACAGGTGCTGGTGCAGGTGCAGCCGTGTGTGTCCCTGGTCAGGTATGTGTGAGGCTGAGCTCCTCTCCATGTTCCGGGGCAGTTTCCTGTGGCTGGTGCTGTTTCACCCCCACCCGTACCCACAGTGAATTCAGGTTAGCTCTGTACCCATCTGATAGTAACAGCTCTCCCCAGTTCCAGGTGCAGGACAACGTCACCCACACTGTCCTAGAATGTCAAAGCCAGGAGAGCCTGGCTCCCCCAAGCTCAGGGAAGCTGAGGGACGTGTTCCTCAGGTGTGTAACCAGCAGCAAGTCTAGGCCACAAGAGCCTTAAGTGTGAGGCTCTGCTTATTCCTTGCTATGGTGGCAAATGCTGTTCTGCCTCGTCCTAGTGTTGGTCCCTTTCTGGCCCCTTGGTTCCCTTTCTCGAAGGGCTGAGTCTAGACCATCTTTCCTATTACTCCTCCACATATCCATCACTGCCAGCAGCCCATCCCCACCACCTGGCCAGACTGCCTGCTTCCTCTGCTCCCATTAAAACTGCTACAGCTGGACTCTGCAGCTCTTCTGGCAAACCGAAGGCGCTACCGGGAGCTGCCCTGGGCCGAGCAGCAGGTAACCCTCCCCACTTAACCTCAGAACCCACTCTCCATCCCCCCATCTCTCTCTGCCTCTCTCTCTGCCTCTGTCTCTGTCTCTCTCTCTCTCTGTGTCTCTCTGTCTCTCTCTGTCTCTATCACCTCCATTTGGCAGCACATCCCTAGCATCCCTTAGTGAGTGAATTGCTTTGTTCTTTTTCCCTCTCTCTGGGAAGAGTGTGAGGCTGTTGGCAGCCATGGAGCAGAGGCAGGACTGAGTCCAGGGCATCATGGGTCCTTGGGGGATATTTCTGCTGTAAAGTGCCTTCTCCTTCTCTCTCTTGAAGGCCCAGTTTCTCTGGAAGAAGATGCAAGTGCCCACCAACCTGACCCTTAGAAGTCTGCAGTGAGTAACTTGTGTGGAGCCATGAGTTTTATTCAACTGACATTTTCTGAATGCTTGTTAGATGCCAGGTGCTTTGGGAGGTACATTGGGAAACACAGGGATGAGCGATATACAGTCCCAGCCTGGTGGGTGTGCTCCTGGTGGCTCCTCCCCTTGTCCTCCCCTCCTCCCCTGTGCCACGCTTACCCTGACTACAGCTAAGGTGCTGAGAACACCTGGATTCAGGTCCCAGGCCTGCCACCTCCTTATGCTCTTGGGAGAGTCAGGTGAGCTCTCTAAATTTCAGTTATCTCTTCTGTAGAATAGGAAATAAAATGGTATCTACCGCATCAGTAGTTATCCTGAAGATTAAATAAGCCACGGAAGATGTGTAACACAGGGCCTGGCCCCTGGTAAACCCCCAGTAGACACTGGCTGTTATTAATTTAATTCAAGGTGACTTCAGAGCCACTGGCCAAGCAAGAATAAACAGGAATAAGTAGGTGTCACCTTACCTACACCCGCAGAAAAGGCACCTGAAGATGTGGCGTCAGTCTCGGTTTACCTTTCCTCTGGCAGAGTGGGGTTGGGCATGTCACCTGGCCTCTGTAAATCTTGATTTTCTTCTCTGACCAACAGTGATGATGTTATAGGAAGCCAGTGAGAACGTCTATGTAAAAATATTTCTCAAACTATAAACTCCCATAACTGAACCAAGTACTTGTGTTAAGAGCGCTGATGTCAGTGAGCAGATGGGTGTGGCAGGTGTTGAATGAGCACTTACCCACCCACTTAACCACAGGGCTCTGGGAAACCTGGCAGGGGGCATGTCCTGTGAGTTTCTGCAGCAGATCAACTCCATGGCAGACTTCCTGGAAGTGGTACACATGCTCTATCAACTATCTACTGGGGTTCGAGGGAGCCTGGTGAGAGGGGGAACTTGGACATTAGCGGGAGGAGGGAGGCTGGCACTCTGGGTGTAGAAGCCAGCTGCCATGGTTCCAACCCTGCTCCCCCACCCTGTCTCACAGAGGGCCTGTATCTGGACAGACCTGCAGCGCAGAATGACAATGCCAGAGCCAGAGTTGACAACCCTGGGGCCAGAACTGAGTGGACTGGACACCAGATTACTTCTGGACTCACCGTAAGTGATATGGCTTGAGATCCTGGGTCCTCAGAAAACTCAACTCGAAGTGGAAGATCTGTCCTTAGGCAATGTCCTGGAGGAGATGGCTTTCTGTCATATGGCTCCTTGACATCACTTACAGCCAAGAGCACAGGGTTCTGTTCAGAGCTGCTCTGTGTATTAGCTGACTACCAGAACAAGGAACCAGCAGGGGACAACTGAGGGTGGCACTGTGTTGTGGCCTGCCAGGTAATCTTAACACTTGTATAACTCTGGGCACATTAATAGTGTATCTGAAATGAGGGGGTCAGTAGTCAAACTCTGCCTCATGACTTGTATTCTTTTTTTTTTTTTTTTTTTTTTGACAGGCAGAGTGGACAGTGAAAGAGAGAGACAGAGAGAAAGGTCTTCCTTTGCCGTTGGTTCACCCTCCAATGGCCGCCTCAGCCAGCACGCTGCGGCCGGCGCACCGCGCTGATCCGATGGCAGGAGCCAGGTACTTCTCCTGGTCTCCCATGGGGTGCAGGGCCCAAGCACTTGGGCCATCCTCCACTGCACTCCCTGGCCACAGCAGAGAGCTGGCCTGGAAGAGGGGCAACCGGGACAGAATCCGGCGCCCCGACCGGGACTAGAACCCGGTGTACCGGCGCCGCAAGGTGGAGAATTAGCCTAGTGAGCCGCGGCGCCGGCTGGTTTGTATTCTATTTAAGGTCCTGTTTCTCAATGTGTTCAGAGGACTAAAGAGAAAAATACATGAAACGTGATAAATGCCTTCAAATACCTGAAGAGCTAGCAAGTAGAAAATAGATAAGCATATATCTGCCTGGTTGGTCAATTCTAGGATTAATGAATTAAAATCAGATTTCTGTATAATATACAGAAAATTGAGGTAGTAAGTTCCTGGTCATTGGAACTATTCAAGCCTAGGCTAAATGGTCCAATGGCAGGATAGTTTTATTTTTATTTATTTCAAAGGCAGAATGACACACAAAGGGACACACACACACACACACACTGAAAGAGAAAGAGATCTTCTATCCTCTGGTTTACTCCCCAAATGGCCAAAAGGGTCAGGGCTGGGTCAGGCCTCAGCTAGGACCCTGGAACTGTGTTCAGGTATTCCACATGGGTGGCAGGGGCCCAAGTACTTGAGTCATCTTCTGTTGCTTTTCCCAGGAGCATCAGCAGGGACCTGGATCTGGAGCAGAGCAGCCAGGACTTGAACCATATACTCATACGGGATGCTGTAGTCACACCAGTGGCTTAAACCCTGTACCACAACACTGGCCCTCCATGGCAGGACTCTAACTGAGCAGTCCAAGTACGAGCTTAGGGGAAGGGAATCATAGGCAGAGATCCCAGGAGTTTATGAGTATCTCATTCGTTTGCTTCTTGTCCTATTTCATCCCCATCCCCACCCCTTGCCAAGTGGTACAGTCCTGTGGATGTGCTGATGGTAAAGGCAGTGACTCCATCCTTGCATTTTCATAGGTCTTCATAAAGATTTCAGATCTTGTACAACTTGGTCTAGTTCCAGAATTGGCAACCTTATATAGAGACAGGATGTAACTTCTGATTTCTGGGGAAGAGAGCTCTTTTGTTCTCATTTTAAAAATGTGATTCAAATATGTTTAAATTTACTGTTTCTCAGAGATAATTTAGAACCCCAGGGCTTGGGGGAGGTGAGAGATGTTGGACCATGAGTCAGAAAACATGAATTCCTCATTTGTGGAAAAGGGATAAGAACACAAAATATGTCTTACCCCCAGGTCTTGTTATAAGTACCCATTGAGAAAACACCTAAAAGAACTTTGTGACCTGCACTGCACTATTCAAAGAAGGGACCTCCTCACAAAGAGAGGAAGGGTGGTCCCGAAGAAACAATAGGAATTGGCAGTAAGACTCCACCTTTTGATCTCAGTGAACCTTAGCTTTTAAATCTATAAAATAGGGGGCCAATGTCGTGGCACAGTGGATTAAGCTGCCACCTGTGGTGCCAGTATCTCATATTACAGTGCTGGTTTCAGGTCCCAGCTGCTCCAATTCTAAACTGGCTCTCTGCTAATGCTTCTAGGAAAGCAACTGAAGATGGAGCACTTAGGCCCCTGCACCCACATGGGAGACCTGGAAGAGGCTCCTGGCTCCTGGCTTCAGATCGGCTCAGCTCTGGCTGTTGTGGCCACTTGGGGAGTGAACCAGCAGATGGAAGACCTCTCTCTTTCTGTATCTCCCTCTCTCTCTCTGTAGCACTGCCTCTCAAGTAAATAAAAATATTAAAAAAAAAAACTTTAATTTTTGAAGAGCAGAGACAGAAAAAGAGAGACAGAGATAGACCCATATTCTTAAATGATGAAAACAGAACTGACCTAGGCCAAAGCCAGGAACCCACAACCAGATCCATATCTCCCACCACTTGGGGGTCAGGGACCCAAGTATGTGAGTCATTTCCTATTGCATCCCAGGATGCATATTAGCAGGGAGCTGGAAACAGCAGTGGAGTCAAGACTCCAACCCAGGCTCTCCAATATAGGATACTGATGTCTCAAGTGGTGTCTTAACTGCTGTGCCAGACACATGGCCCAAAACTGGGAAACATTTATTGATAGCTAATATTGGAGGACTTTGAGTCCATTTAATCAGGTGTGATTTTCTTTTCAGGAAGACTAAAAGCACATCACTCTTTGTTTTCTTCCTTCAAGCAAACGGTGACAACTGTCTTTGCAGCTGTTTAATATCAGTTCCTGACCAGCAGCACAGGGTTTTGTCTGGTTTTGCATCTTACCTAGGGAATGAGAGATTTACTGGTCCCTTCTCAACTTGGCTCAGTTCTGATGGAGTGACCCTGTTATCAAATTGCTACCATAGGATCCAGCTGCTGGATAGACTCTCCAATGAATCCATTATGCTGATGGTGGAGCTGGTACAAGGAGCTCCAGACCAACTGCTGGCACTGACCCCACCCCACCAGGCAGCCCTGGCAGAGAAAGCACTACAAAACCTGGTAAGAGTTCACCCTACCAGACTCCAACCTGCTGCCCTGGGCAATTCTTGCCTCTCAAACAACACTCTCTGTCTTCTAAGCTCAACCCCCCACCTCTTGTTTCCAAACAGGTTCCTGTCTATAAGGCTATAACCCCTAGATCTGCCTCTAGGTTTTATTCCTTGATAACCTGTTTCTTATTTCTCTTATCTCTGGTCCATACCCCCTGGAGTCAAGAAAATCCCTGAATTCCACCTTTTGGTCTTTCTGCCTACTTCCAACGAGGCTCATTTAATAAAGTGAACAGGGCCCGGCCTTGTGGCATAGCAAGTAAAGCTGCTGCTTGCAATGCTGGCTTCCCATATGGGCACCAGTTGGTGTACCAGCTGTTCCACCTCTGATATAGCTCCCTGGTAATGTCCTGAGAAAAGCAGCAGAAGAAGGCCCAAATGCTGGGGCCCTGCTACCTATGTGGGAGACCTGGATGAAGCTCCTGGCTCCTGGCTTCAGCCTGGCCCATCCCTGGCTATTGGAGCCATTTGGAGAGTAAACCAGTAGATGGAAGATTTCTCTCTGTGTGTCTCTCCCTCTATCTCTCTATGTAAATCAAATAAATAGTAAATCTTTTTTTTTTTTTTAAAGTGAACGAAGGTAGCATCAAAAGGAGCTGAGTTGGGAACGGGAGGTAGGGAAGGTAAAAGGGCTTGGTCTCTTGATGAAAGAATCTGACACTTTGGGTCAGAGGTGCATTGTCAAAGGCTTGATGCCCTTCTCCAGGCTCCAAAGGAGACCCCAGTCTCAGGGGAAGTACTGGAGACATTGGGCCCCTTGGTCGGATTCCTGGGGACAGAGAGCACACGACGGATCCCCCTACCAATCCTGCTGTCCCGGCTCAGTCAGCTGCAGGGCTTCTGCTTAGGAGAGACGTTTGCCACAGAGCTGGGATGGCTGTTGTTGCAGGAGCCTGTTCTTGGGTATGGACCTTTGAGAACTTCACATGCTGACTCACCCAGCCCCTCAACCGCCATCATCAGAAACAGCCCATTCTGTGTGCTTAAGGTCCCCTGGAGCCCTGATGCCCCAGTCCTAGCATGTGCTCTTTTCCCTTTCTCCTCATAGTTCCCTCTGCTCCCCAGCCCATGATATTCTTCCTGTCCTCCAGGAAACCAGAATTGTGGAGCCAGGATGAAGTAGAGCAAGCTGGACGTCTAGTATTCACCTTGTCTACTGAGGCTATTTCATTGATCCCCAGGGTGAGGTGAAGGAACAAGGAAAGGAGTAAACGCATAGAGGGGACTGGTGAGCTGGTTATGGGGACCTAAGGCCAAGGAGGTTGAGGGCAAAGGGTGTATAGAATGGATCCATGGAAGACTGCTGAACACAGGTAGTGCTTGGGCATTACAGCTGCAGTAGCTGGCCCTGACCTTGTCCAAGTCTCCCCACCCTCCTTCCTTCTCCTTTCTCATGCAGGAGGCATTGGGCCCAGAGACTTTGGAGCGACTTCTAGAAAAGCAACAGAGCTGGGAGCAGAGCAGAGTTGGACAGCTGTGTGGAAGTCCACACCTTGCTCCCAAGAAAGCAGCCCTGGTAGCTGGGATTGTACGGCCAGCTGCTGAGGATCTCCCAGGTGAAACTACCCAAATACTCAAATGTCCAGCAAAAGCATATCAAACTATGCAGTCAGAAGCTAGGTACACTGTGCCCTTTGAGCAGATTTGCAAATCTTCGGCTCTTTGGGCTTTGTTCTTCTAATCTATAAAGCAAAGGGGTTAGAGGGATAATCTTCAAGATCTCTTCTAATTCAAGAGTTCTATAACTCTAAGAGTTTGTAATCCATTCAGTTTCCATCCTAGGACTCCAATTTCCTTGTTTTCTTATTCCTGTTAATAGCTGCCTCAGCTCTGTCTAGCCTAAGGGTGGAGCTTTTTGCTGGGGAGATCCCTATAAGGAAGAAGACAGCATGGGGCTAAGGACGACTTGTGTGGGTTAAAATCAATACCTGAGCAACCTCTGTAGTCTTCTATAAAATAAGAGGCTTGTCTTCTCCAAGTATTTCTTGTCCTACCCTTTGAGCACTATAAATCTCACTGTATTTCTTAGCTCATACTACTCACACTGTCCCTTCCTCCACAGGTTAGATGAAACCTTCCATCAGAAGATATCTCTCTATGCATATTTTGACATTATATTGACCCTCTGGCTCTGCTTTCCACTTTCAGAACCTGTGCCAAATTGTGCAGATGTGCGGGGGACCTTCCCAGCTGCCTGGTCTGCAACCCAGATTGAAGAGATGGAGCTCTCAGACTTCGAGGACTGCCTGGCACTATTTGCAGGAGACCCAGGACTTGGGCCTGAGGAACTACGGGCAGCCATGGGCAAGGCAAAGCAGGTTAGGAATGGAGAGGTCAACTGGGGTTGGAGGTGGAAAAAATATGAAGAAATAGGTTGAGTGGGATATGGGACTCACGAGAAGAAGAAGTTGAGTAGGTGGTGGGGGGAAGGAGATAAAATGATTAGAGGGTCTGGATCACAGATGTGAGGTCAGAAAGGGTCAATATTGAGAAAAAGGAGCTACTACAACAGATAGAGAGACTAGAACAGGGGTTATCAAATTTTAATAGGTATCAGAATCATCTGGGTTGCAAGCTTTTTAAATGTTGATGTCAGAGTCTCTTGCTGGACTGAGTAAAAATCTCTGCGGATGGAGTCTGGGCATCTGGATTTTAACAGCCATCTCAGTGAGTCTGGTGCACAAGAAAGTTTAGAATTCATGGACTAGAGTTTGCTTTTCTTTCCTTCTGAGACTCTAGGGTCCTTCCCTAACACCTTAGTTATGTTATGGTTGAGAAACTAAAGAAAAAGTGAGTGATTTGCTTAGTTGCACAGCTAAGGTCAGAGGGAGCAAAAGTCCCAGCATTCTGACTCCCAGTCCAGTGCTTTTTCCACTCACATTGTTCCTCTCTTCCTCCTTAGTTGTGGGGTCCTCCCCGGGGATTCCGCCCTGAGCAGATCCTGCAGCTGAGTAGGCTCTTAATAGGTCTAGGAGAGCGGGAACTGCAGGAGCTCAACCTGGTGGACTGGGGAGTGCTGAGCACCCTGGGGCAGATAGATGGCTGGAGCTCCATCCAGGTAACACCTTCCCTCCTCCCTACCACTGCCCAAGCATTCATCCCACAGACCCAGTCCTCCAGGTCTGCAAAAGCCCAAGGAATTTTTCCCTGTGATGCTGCCTGGCCATTCTATCACTTTCTTTAATACCCCATACTAGTGACTTTAGGGGCTCTGATTTGTTTGTGCTGAGCCCCACTGGACACAAAATGCCATTTCCTGCATCTTTTCCCTGTGGCCTCCTCTTTTCAGTCTTTTCTTTTTTGGGGTACTCAACCCTCTCCATAGCTTTATTAGCTATTTTATTAAGATCTCATCTTAATAGTAAAATAAAACAACCCACTAGCACCTATCGCTTCTCCACTCATTAATTCCCCATGACTTCCCTCCTTATCCTGTGCCACTGATCTCCCACCCAGCTCCGGGTTGTGGTCTCCAGTTTCCTACGGCAGAGTGGTCGGCATGTAAGCCATCTGGACTTCATTCACCTGACAGCGCTCGGTTACACACTCTGTGGACTTCGGCCAGAAGAGCTACAGCACATCAGCAGCTGGGAATTTAGGTCATCTACTGAGGGTGTTGTATGCTTGTGTGTGTAGGGGGTGGTTCTGAGATGATGCCAGGTTTTCTAGGGTTAGGAAGGATCATGAGGGAGTGGTCCTATGGAAGAAGGGGACTGATTTACAGCCACCTCTTCCCTGTCTCATGACCATGGCCCCTGTCATTGGAGCTGAATTCTTCTTTCCTTCCCACTCTTCTACAGCCAAGCAGCTCTCTTCCTGGGCAACCTGCGTCTCCAGTGCTCAGAGGAACAATTGGAGGTTCTGGCCCACCTCCTGGTGCTGCCCGGTGGCTTTGGCCCAGTCAGTAACTGGGGCCCTGAGATCTTCACTGAAATTGGCACAATAGCAGGTAGCAAGCCTGGGTCACTGATGGTGCTACTTGTCAGGGTTTAGTTTCCATGTACCAATGCTCTGGGTGGAGGACTGCCTTGGAATTCTTAAGGTGAGGGTCTGAGGAGGTGTTGAGGTAAAGGGCTGGAGATATGTTGGGGAAGGCCGATGGCGGGCACTTTGAAGGTAGTTAGAACAGAAAGTCCACAGGTTTGAAGAGAAAAGGCTAGAAAAGACCACGTTTGGTTGCCTATCTCACTTGCTTCTACAGCTGGGATCCCAGATCTGGCGCTCTCAGCACTGCTTCGAGGACAGATCCAGGGCCTTACTCCTCTTGCCATTTCTGTCATCCCTCCTCCGAAATTTGCTGTAAGTCTTGGTGGACTGGGGTCTGGGGTGACCACAGGAGGCCAGGGCCCAACAGGGATCATATGGATGCACTGACTCTGGCCCACATCCCCAGGTGGTGTTCAGCCCCACTCAGCTGTCTAGTCTCACCAATGTTCAGGCTACGGCTGTCACTCCTGAGCAAATGGCCCTTCTGAGTCCTGAGCAGCGACAAGCAGTTATATGGGCCCAATATGAGGGAAAGGAGATCCCAGAACAGCAGGGTGAGTTCAGTTTGACCCTTCCTGTCCTGACCTAGAATCTGACCTCCTACTCATACCTCCTAAGAGATCCCTCTGGAGACGGGGTCCACAGGCAGAGAGCTAGTTTGCAAGTATCAATGGCTCCTAGGGAGCAGAGTTGTGATAGTCCTTCCATTCTTTTCTCATTATAGGTCGAAACACAGCCAGGGGCCTCCAGGACTGGTTACAAGCCTCCTGGGCCCTGTCATTGACCATCAGCTTCCTTGGCCACCTACTCTGAGCCTGTGTCTACAGCCTGGGGAGATTGTTGGGAGGGAAACCTCATGTCATAATGAATAAAGTACAAATGGAAGTGAATCCTAATCATTCTCAGGAAGCTGATGAGGAATATGGGTAAAATGTTAATGCTTTCCACCCACCTAAGAATCAGTATTCCTGGCATGCCATATCTTGAGTCTCCTTAAGTCACAAATAATCCCACTGTTTCTTCTTTTCTTGGAGGCTGCCTACTCCTTTCCCCACCAATAGAAACAACACAGACAGCTGGAACACAGCAAGGAATCTTTACTAGGATGGAGGCAGGGGTTGGGGGTCAGGTCCAGAGAAAGTGGAATGGCCCACCATCAATGAGCAGAAGTCTTGGGTTTTTTTTAATCATCTGATGGGGATGAGGAGTTAATGTTTGTTGTGGACAAGAGGTGCAGGGATGCGGATATCCTGGCCTCTCTCCAGACGACGTTCACAATCAATCAAATAGTTTACTCCATCGATGACCAGTTGCACCAGCTCCACCTGAAGAACACTAATCCTTGATCTCTGTTTCCCGTAATCAGATTTTTTTTCTGTAGTGCTGATAACTCTCCTGCTCTGGGAACTCATTTCCAATTGCCTCCCCACTCAACCTGAATTTCATTGTAGATTCTAATACATTCCTGAGGCTCGTTCACTGTTGTATCTCAACTCCCCAAAACCTATACTTCTCATCCTCCTGATCCCTTAAGATCTCACCTCTGACTTTCCCAGTCGGTCCAAATTAGAGATGTCAAAGACACTGCCTGTGGCAGCAGTATCCACTCCTCCAGTGCCACGCTTTTGGAGTCTTAAATTCTCCAGGATCTTTGGGAAACGGCTATCCTGGAGGGGAGATAGGGATTGGGGACAGAGTCAATAAAGGTAGATTGGTCCTACCTTAAGGAGCCTGGACCTGCTCCAAACATTTTCCCTGACCTTTAACCACAATGCCTGGCTCCCTTCTAAATGGCTTACTCCCTCCCCATCCAGACCCCTCCCCCTTCCTCACTTGCATCTCTCTCTAACCCCATAACTCCTTTACTTTGCTTAGCAGGGGCAGTTTGATGTGCACTCCTGCTCGAAGTCCAGTGCCCAGGTTAGATGGACAGGTCAAGATGTATCCCAGACGTTCATTCCACATGAACTCCCAGCCACGCTCCTGGATCAGCCGCTCCACCTGTGTCCACAAAGTTTCTGTTACTGAAATATCAGGGATATGTGGGCCCCTCCCTTAGCTAGCCCAACAGGAACTCTATAAATATGGCTAGAACCAGGCATTTGGATGAATGACATTGCTCTTATTATCATGCATGCAAGGTGATTTTAATGTTGCAAAATTACGATGCACTTGTGATGTGCATGATGATGAAATTGTCTTGTGTATGGAAGAAAATAAACTTGAGAGAATGATGCACTAAAGATGCTCTAGGGAAATGAACAGAGGTGGTAAACTGAACCGAGAAAGGACTGGTTTTTCAATGAGTTCTGCCCGCATTGATTATCTATGCTTTGCCAATAAGCCTAGCATTTGGAAAGGTTCTTTCAGACAGAAAATGAGGATGTAGGCTTTGCAACAAGAAGAACAACAATGGCTCTCTGTTAGCCATGAAAGGTACACATGTGAGAAAGCAGAAAGAAATGTGAAAACAGGACAGAAAAGCCAGATTCATAGGTGTGTGTAAGCAGGGGAAGGCATCGGAAGACTGTTTCACTTAACTATCCTAATCATGAAGATAACTATTAGAGTTGAAGACAGAGGGCCCACCAGAGCAATGAACACAAAGACCACTACCCAAAGTGAGTGAAGGGGACTTTGTTTACAATTCAGGAAGACCCAAGGTTTGGAGGGCACAACTTTCACGCTAAACATGGGGAAAGCTTTCCATCTAGAAGAAGAACTTGGTGACACTTACTGAGCACTTGCAATGGACCAAGTACTTTACCTACATCATTTCATTTATTCCCCACAACAACCTAAAATGTAGGAATTCTTACCTCAATTTTATATTAGGAAACTGAGGCATACGATTTAAAGAATATTTCCTACACACTCATAGTTAGAATGTTATCTATTACATGCCAAATATAATAGAAATGTTATAAGTAAAATCTAAAAGAGGAACTTGCTTTCTTTAAGCCCAAAATAACTGTAAACATGAGAATATCCAGTGATAATTTGCTTTATGGAGATTTTTAATGTAGAACTAAATATGGAGATAAAATACACATAAGATTGAGGATTCAGTTCAACTCATGCAGAACTATACATTTTAGAATTTAAGATATTCCATCTTCTCCCCCAGTATCCTTCCTACTTCAGCTTAAAGCCTAGACACAATATGTTAGCAGCAATGATGGAATCCAATAAAAGCCCACATTAGCTCAGAACTTGGTGTTTATTTTAGAATCCTGAACACACCAATTTCTTACCTGCATCAGTCCACACTCAAACAATGTAATGCACTCCCCACCATGTCACACCACACACCCCAGACACTGACCTGCCATCTTAGTCATTCTGTCTTTGCCTTGTTTGACAACTGCTTTATATACTTCTTTGGGTTCCTGACGTTCTTTCTCTCTGTTTTACTGCAACCATATGTCCTGGTTTTCCCAGGATAGTCCTGCCTTATGGCTATTACCCTGGAGTGATTAGCAGTGATCCTTTTTACTATTGGAAGTATCCCGGATTGGTTGATAAATCAAATGATCAATCTATCTGTGCTAGTCTTTGGTTTCCCTTTATTTCCTCCCACCCAGCTCCCCATTTCCACCCCTGTCCAACCTCTTTGAGGCCTCGGCAGAATCTTTCAAACACTTTCTTCATGTTGCCACCCTTCTCCATGGAGATAACCCGGGTATGATCCTCCTCATTCACCCAGATAAGGAAGCTCTTCTCATTGTTGTGCCTGAAGGCAGGAGATATGGCAGGAAAGGGATCAAGGGGCAGGTAAGAGTTGAGGGGGAAAGAGAAGCAAAGCATTTATGGGTCATGGAGGCAAGAGAGGTAAAGGGCAGCTTCATACCAGATTCCACGAGCATCTGGCCAGTCTCGAGCCATTCCTGCTGCAGTCAGCAATGGGGACACAGGCTTATCGAATAGAAAGTGGTCCTGGGAAGAGAAGAGACTTGGGTTAAGAATCCTCCCAGTAGGCCCTGGGCCTCCCAGAGCCCATTTATCTCATCTGGGCTAGCCTCCCCTCTGGTTCGTTCTTCTGTCTTCTCCCCATGCCCAGATCCCCTGCAAGGCCCCTCACATCAATAAGCTGCTGCTGCTCAGCCTCTGTCATCTCACTGAGCCGATAGTAGCGTCCAGCCAGGTCACCCTTTAGGCCACTCAATGCATCTACCACAACGCGTTCCACCTCTCGTCGCTCTGCCCGAGTGCAGGCTGGAGGCAGACTGAGTCCCCGGATACTTCGGCCAGTTCTGACTCTTGAGGACAATACATACCTCTCATCGAAGTAGCCAGAACGGATCTGGAAGACACAGGAGATGAATATAAGTCACAGATACACAGTGAGTGGGAACTGAGCATCCTTGGAAGGCTAAGGTCTAGGGATTAGAAGGTTCTTCACACATCCCAGCTGCTTCCTTTGGAAGGAGGGGTCTATTGGGCAAGCATTCAGGTTGAAGGGGGGCATTGTGGACCCTTCCCTGAACTGTCTACCTGGCAATATGATCAGTTTCATCTACCCTTTCTTCATATCTGCTATTCCTTAAGATATGCTTCTTTTGCCATATCAAGTTTAAAAACTCAGCAGTATAATGCCCATTAGTCAAGACGAAGAAACTGGAGATATGGAGTGTTGTATACAAGGCAATGCACCTCAGGAGTGGAGTATTTGACTCACCTTACTGGCATCCAGGTCAGTGGTATGCTTCATGGTCCGGGGGTCATATCCATTGTGTCGCTCTTGGATCACAGGGTCAAATAGGTCAGCAAATACCTGATGGGCAGTTAGGAGGGAGAGGTAGTTAAGGAAAGGAAATCCATTTCAGACTTAACTGTGCATTGATTTCACTGCATCAGAAAATTTGAGTATAGATGGTCCAGAGTCTTCAGGGAAAGTAAGGGGTCTTTAGAGGGAAGGAGCCAGGATTACTGGGAAGATGAGTTGGGTCACCAGGAAGACTCTGGGGGCCCCCTACCTCATAGGTCTCCTCATCTCCAGCCACCATGCCCACAGTCTTGATGAAGGGGTGGCCAGGGTTGTCCACGCCAGTCTGGATACACTGATCTAGCGTCCAACCAGTGGGTGTGGTCTTGTCGCAGAGCCGTGCATAGACTGCTGGGGTCAGGTGACTGGCCATGCAGTTGTTGTGCTTTCGGAGGTCTGGGTACTCAGCGCTGGGGAGGGGGTACCCAGTAACCATGGAGGGAGGACACAGGGGCCTAGAGCTAGTGCAGTCAGCTGGGAGCTGCCCAGATAGCCATGTCTGGCTTTGCTCCACGGGGGTAAGGGGAATTAGAAGGAGACTAAGCCTGGGTAATCTCTTTAGAGACTTCCAGTGTCTATTCTTTCCCCACAGTTCTAGCTGCCTCTGGCAGGCTAGTACAGTTCCCCCAGACCTGCTCAGGTCTTTCCTCCCAAGAACACAACATTCAGGATGGGGGAGGGGAAAGACTGAGGAGGGGGGATTCGGGAAATGGGAGAGGAGAGCAGGAAAGGGAGATGAGGGAGAGTGAAAAGGTTAATAGTTCCTGGTCTTTCTTCCACTTAGAGGTTTGGGCGGTGGGTGCAGCTAGAACTCTTAGGGCCAGAGGTGGCCTTGGGGGCAGGGACCATGGATTACAGATCCCCAGAAATGCTCTTGGTTTGGCCCCATCTGAGCTGTACAGCCCCCCAGCTCCAGGGCCTTGTGATTACGTGATTATAGCCCTTCTCTGTAGCTCGGATCCTCGTCTCCACCCCCACCTTCTTGCTCCCATCCCCCCATCCTCCCCGCGCCTCAAGCACTGATACCTTGGGGGATACAGCCTCCTTCGTTCGCTGGCTGCTCGAACAGGTTCCGGGCGGAGCAGAAACCCAGCGGCTAGAGACCCAGCTCCGGCCAAAGCCAGGAGCCCGAGCCGCGGGCGGGCAGACAGCAGACGGGAGAAGGGACCAGCCATGGCTAGGGGGTCCAGGTATGGGATCCTGGAACAGGAGCAGCCACAAGACAGGAACGGAGACGGAGGATGCAATCGGTCACACTGAGGCCTGGAGCCAGATCTGAGGCTGAAGCCGAAATGGGGGTCGGAGTGGAGACTAGAGCCGGTGCCAAGCAGGCTGCAGGAGAGGCGCAATGAGCTCGGGGCGGGCGGGAGGAGAGGGAGGCCGAGCCGCAGTCTCCAGGGGTGGGGCTCACACAGGCTCCGCCCTCCCGCCTGCCAGCGCGCTAGGTGTGCGGGGGTGGGGGTGGGCAGCGCAGCCAGGTAATTAGGGGCGCGGAGACTCGCACCCCAAAGGCCGGGGAGGTAGGCCCACCAGTTAGGCTGCCTAGATTTCAGCACCGAGTAGAGGACAGCACCCTCGGGGCCAGCAAAACCCGAACACGCTTCCCCCAAGCCCCTCTGTTAAATTCGAAACCCGATCCGTCTACTGTGTGTGGGTGGGACAGGGTGACATTGCCCAACCTCTTTGCTTCTGGTCTACCCCCAGCAACCTTTCCATCTCCCCAGGGGCGGCGGCCCCCGGACAACGGCGGAATAAACACAGATACCCGAGGAAGCCGCTGAGACGGCCCTGGGCTGGAGGCAGACACGGAGAGACACAGTCTGCCTCAAGGTCACCTTTTCCTAAGAACCAGGAAGAGGACCAGGACGCCTTCCCGCCACACCTGTGCTCTCCTCCCACGGTGGAGAAAGGTGGAGAAAAGAGTCCCTGAGAGAAGTCAAGGAAATACTAACTCTTACCCTATTTGTCCTGTGCCCCCACTTGGCCCCTGAGTCTGGGGCCCTACTATTTCCAGGCCCACTCCTGATCCTGGGCTTCTTTTTTATTCTCCCACCCTCTTCCTCGGCCCCTACTTCACCTTTGATCTTTTACTTCTCTTCTTTTCGCGGCTCAGACCAGTCTGCTGCTCCCGGGACTCCCTCTGAGCAGTCTGCCAGTTTGCCTTACCTGCTGGTTGCACTGGGTGTGGGGATGGCCTGGCGCCGAGAATTGTTAGTTTCCTTTTCCTCCTCTCTCTTTTATTCCCTCTCTGCAGCTCCCAGTTCCAGGACTGGAAGGGGAATTTAAAATGAGGTAAAGGGTGTGGCAAGATGACTGGGTGTGGAGAGGAACAGGCAGGCACAGGTCTCCAGGCACCGCATGTGTTTCCTCTCTTGGCTCCCTAATGCTGTTTAATCCGGAGCGTAAAGTCCTATAGTGTCCAAGGGCGTAAGGTCATCAAGGGATCTCTGCCTTCCTCCCTGTCCCCTCTCCTGTGTCTCCTCTTGAAGCACATATTGAGATTTGAGAGGGTTTTGTTTCCACTTGACTTTTGTCCTAGTGGGAAGGAGAACACATGTTGGAGTTGTAATAGGGCTGTGAGGCTTCAGTATGGAGGGTTGGCTAAGGTGGACTGAGCATGGCAGCGTTAGTCCTCTCACTTAGCTGTCCTGTTCTACCACAAGATGTTAAAGTTCTTGGGTGTTTTAAGAGAGAGTATTTGGGATAATGGGATTCACATTGTCTTCTGGTTCCACTGTTGAGATATCCTCCCTCCCAGCAATACCCTCATTCCTTTCATTCTTTGTGTTCCTTTTCCTACCTTCCTCATTTGTGGGAATCTATGGAAGGCTTCCACCCCACTTGGGGGCTCATCACTTCTGTATTTTTTCTCATAATAAGGCTGTAATGAGCAGATCACTGATGGAGTTTTGCGAGTGTGGTCACTGTTGAAGAGATAGAGAATGTGCCCTTTGTTGCAAGGGCTTATTACTCAGGAGAAGGAGTCACTGTGAGTAAGGAAATATAATTACCTGGGATGGTTTGTATTTACCCAGGTAAAGGAGGGAGATAATCTTCCAGAGCAGTAGGGTTGTTATTTGATTGAGAAGGTGGTTGCTAAGTTTAGGGAAAGAGGGGGTAGGTAGAGAGAATTAGAGAAAGAAGGCAGTCAGAGGAGTGGAGAAATTACTCGTTTGGAGAGTAGCTGCTCACATATTAATAGCTCCACTGAGAAAACACACAAATTTGTGTACTTAGTTCTTGTGAGCCACTGGCAGGCACATAATCTATTAATAGTTAATTTTTATTAAAATATATATTTATTTGAAGGGCAGAGTGACAGAGATGGAGATACACACACACACACACATACACACACACACACACACTCAGAGAATGTTCCATTTCACTGGCTTGCTCTCCAAATGCCCACAACAGCCAGGTTTGAGACAAGCTGAACTCCATGTTTCTCCCACATCAATGATAGGGGCCCACACATCCGGGCTATCTTCCCCTGTCCTCCCAGGCTCATTAGCAGGAGCTGGAGCAGAAGCAGAGCAGCTGGGACTCACTCTGGCACTCTGATATGGCTAAATCTGCTGTATCACAATACTGGCCCCAATACTCATAAAAAATTATCCTAGGGGCCGGTGTTATGGTACAGTGGGTTAAGCTGCTGCTTGGGATGCTGACATGCTGGAGGGTAGCAAAAGATGGCCCAAGTACTTGGGTCCCTGTCACCCATGTTTGAGACCTGGACGGAGTTCTTTGCTCCTGGCTTTGGCTTGGCCCAGACGCAGCTGTTGGCAACCATTTGGGGGAATGAACCAGTGAGTGGAAGATCTCTATTTCTCTGTTGCTGTGTCTTCCAAAAAAAAATCTTTATTTTTTATTATTTTTTTTTTGACAGGCAGAGTGGACAGTGAGAGAGAGAGACAGAGAGAAAGGTCTTCCTTTGCCATTGGTTCACCCTCCAATGGCCGCCGCGGCCAGCACACTGTGGCCGGCGCACCACGCTGATCCGATGGCAGGAGCCAGGTACTTATCCTGGTCTCCCATGTGGTGCAGGGCCCAAGCACCTGGGCCATACCCCACTGCACTCCCTGGCCACAGCAGAGAGCTGGCCTGGAAGAGGGGCAACCGGGACAGAATCCGGCGCCCCGACCTGGACTAGAACCCCGTGTGCCGGCGCTGCAAGGTGGAGGATTAGCCTAGTGAGCCGCGGCGCCGGCCCCCAAAAAAATCTTAAAAATGTATCCTATAGTTTATTCGAAGTGATTATCATACTTACTATTTGATTTATTTAGTAATAGTTATTGTCAATAGTATTTCATATTTTAAAACACTTTACAATTATAAGGAAGTTTTTAAGTGTTATTTTGTTGAATTGTTCCAGTGGGTGACAAAGGACAGAACCTATATTTTTAGGGGAATGACGAGAGAACTTGAATACCTGGAAAATGCTATAATACTTTGTTTTAAGGGTTAGAGTGGTAGAGAGGGCATGAGCCTGAGCATGAACTAGGGAGGGTGTCTTGTGGATCAGTACAGTGAGGCATCTGACAGGAAAAGTAGCAAGATCGCTGTGCTTGCTGAGAGAAAGAAGGAACTTGGAACTGTCTTGACCAGGTCACTTGACCAAGTGAACAAGCAAGGACAGTAACAGTGCGAACATATGCAACATGCTTTCACATAGTCACTACCCTATAAATTAGATTTCAGTCACTTCATTCTTACAGATGAGGGGCTAATGACTTGCCCAAGGCCACACAGCTATTAAAGGTAAGGCCAGCATTGGCATCCAATCTAGTTCCAAGTCTAGAGGGCAAAGGAAAATCATGGTGCAGAGATAGGAATGACTTGTCCCGCCTTCGCCGTCCATCATTTTCTTGTCTCCTCCATCAGGAAGGTCCCTCTGTTCCTTTCCTTAACGGTTTCATGTGCTTCTGTTGACCTTTTTGTCTCGGGTCTCCCATCACTCCTTTTCATATCTGTTAACATTTGCGACCGACATTTATTGGATCTCCACGTATATCATACCCCATTTTGCTTTACAAAACAAATAGAAGGCAATGACACGAACTTTGGCTTGTTCCCCTGCATCTCGCTTTCTGTATGTCTAGGTCTGAATGAAGCACCTGGACTGTGGAGATGCAGTCGGAAATCGGAGGAAGGGGAGCATCAGGTTGCAGTCCCTCCCAGGGCCACTAGGGACCACCCTCCTCCGCACAGAAGCGCCGGCCAACGCAGCCTGACTCTGTTGCCGGTGCGCGCCCTCTGCTGATTGGTGCCCCCACAAAGAAGTCGCGCTTTGATTGGGCCGCTGTCAGGTGTCGCTGCCGGCAGGTTCGGCTGCGCAAGCGGAGGGAGGCGGGTGAGTGAGGGCCGGGGGCGGTGGGGGAGTGGCTGGGGGCTGGGGGCGGAATCGGAGGGGTGGGCTCGGTCGGTGCAGAACGCCTTCGAGTAGCTCCGGTGCGGGCAGCTTCAGAGAGAGGCCGGCGGAGAGGCCTCCATGTCGGCGTAGGGAGCGTGAGGCGGGGAAGGCGGGGGCTGGCAAAGGCTAGTGGAGTCGGGATGGAGGGCGGCGGTATTCGTGACCCGGAGCTGCGCGAGGAGAGGACTCTGGAGCGGGGCAGCGAGAGAACACAAGGGTGTGTAAGCGTCCGCTTGAGGCAGGTTGGGGGTGGGGTCCTGCCTGAGGAGGAAGGGTCTGGGTGGAGGCGACCCGCGTGAGGCGGCCAGGGAGCGGGGTGGGCTCGAGGAATGGGCTGAGAGAAGGCGCTGCAGGCAGTCTCTGTTGAGGGAGCGCTGATCGCTCGGGACGAAGGTGTTGCCAAGTGTGGTGACTCATGTGAGGGTTTGGAGGACTGTTGAATATTGGGGAACCGGTGAGTAGGAGGATTAGTTGGATTAATTGGATTAGCTGGTCAGTGATGGAGGGGGGTGTTGGCAGTCAGTGTTGGGAGTGGTTAGGGGAGTCAGCCGTTCTCGCAGATTGGGGAAGGAAGGCGGCGTGAGCTAGCCCAGCCTGAGACCGGGCAGCCCGCACGGTTGGTCGGGGTCAGGATGGGACTGTGTATGAAGGATTAAACTGTGCATTAAGGAGGAAGTGTCTGGCTGGAGGGACTGAGGAGGAGATAATGTCGGTGCCTGAGTTTCTGTGCGTTGAAAGTATCCCTGACTGGAATTGGAGTTGACTTTCCCCTTCACCATGGCCGGAGCCCTCCCACAGGTGCAAGGTGATTAAGGAAATTAGAGCACCACGCAGCCAGTTCTAAATGCTAAGGGATAAAGGCGTTGCACCGTTTCCCTTCCCTTCCAGCCCTTCTCGGGATCTGATTTTACGCAGGTGTAGCCGAGGCGCTGGCCTGCCTCCCTGCCCACCTGCCCTGCTGGAGGGACCTGGACAGTGGAGGGAATGTTGAGATTTCAGTCTGAGAATAGGCTGGAGCCTGCTGTTGCGAATGCCTATATCCTTTCTCCTGTCCTTTCTCCCTTCCTTGCATTACTGCTTCAGACCAGGCTAAGGCTGCCCTTTAGCCCAGTGTAAAGTCTGAAGTTTTCTTTTGCAATGCAGTTTGGGGGAGAGGGTCAAAGGGAAAGAACACAGAAAACAGGGGAGTGGCTCTGGGAACACAACATTAAACCCCAGCTTCTCCCAGAGGTGCATCTAAATAAATCCTGGCTTATTCCATAGCTATTTCTGTCAGGCTTCTATTTCTGCTTTGTTAACACTGAATTTAGACCTCCTTTTTAAAAAATTTTATCTCTCTTTAGCCCCATATTTGTGAACAGGTTCTTCTTCTTGTATTCTATTTGTCATCACCTGTTACAAAATTTCAAGAACATGACTGTACATTCAGCAGAAAACAGGGAGTTAGTAGAAAAAAGGACAATAGGTTCAGAGTCTTAGATATGAGAGAAAGCCCATGCTTCAGAGAACAGATAAAGAATGCAACAAAATTCTAATTGCTTAAATGATACAGGGACCTTGGGAATGCCACAAGTCCTAGAAATTGGGTCAGGTCCCCAAAAAGGAGTTCAGAGGAAAAGCTTGTTAGTAGGAGGGGGAGTGTGTGTGTGTGTGTGTGTGTGTGTGTGTGTGTGAAAGAGAGAGAGAGAGAGAGAGAGAGAGAGAGAGAGAGACCGACCTGTAGTGCACCACTGTTAAACATACAGAATGTTGTGCCCTGTGGTGGTAGTTGAGCAATAGAGACGCAGATAATGAAGACTGGAAAGGTTGCGGTCTTTATAAAGGTCACGTATAACTTTCTCATCAAAACTGTGAATATCAGTTGTAATGGAAGCATTTGAAAATAGAGAGCATAATTATTGAAGACTACTTAAATAGTAGTCTCCATAAGACTAAATTAATTCGTTTACTTAAGGAGTTTGTGGCTTTTGTTAGAGTCATCTGCCAGTGTTTCTGGGAACTTTTGGAGACCATGGAAAATTGCTGATGTGTGACTCAATTTTATTTTTGGAAAATAATAACAGATACTTGTGTCCTTACAATTCCCTGTTAATGAATGCTGACCTTTAGTGTATTTGCTTCAGATATCTTAAAAAATTGAAATAAACACTATAGATACGGTTGCAAATTACTGTAGAATTCTCAGTTCCATTCTCCTTTCTCCTCAAGAGTAACCATTGTCAGGAATTTGATTTTCTCTCCAAATCTATATTTTTATACTTCTATTATTTACACAGTCATAATATTTGATTTTTTTTTACTTATACAAATACAGAAGCAGTTTTACTGAGTGTGTATTTCTGCAGTTTTTATTTGGGAAATACCCATTTATTATATATCACTTTGCTTCATTTTTTAGATTGCTGTTAGTCTGCCATTTCTGTATAGTACATCATTGTCATATTTATGCATTTGTCTACTTGTGACATGAGTTGCTATGAGTTTTTTTTTCCACTGTCAACAGTGAGTAAGAAGGTTAAGAAGATCCTTCTTCATGTCTTCTGATGTAGGAGTTTCTCTACAGCATTGTTTCTGCACGTTGGCACTGCTGACATTTTAGGCAGGATAGTTCTGTGTTGTAATGGAATATCCTGTGCTTTTTAGGATGTTTAACAGCGTTCCTAGCCTCTACTCACTAGATGCCAATAGCACCTTTCCAGTAAGGATAACCAAAAAGGTCTCCTGCCAAATGTCCCACATGCGTCAAAATTGCAACTGGTTGAAAACCACTGCCCTTAAAGAAAGAAAGAAGGAAAATTTAAAAAATAGAACAACAAAATAAAACAAAAAAAGAAAACCACTACTCTATAGATGTCTATATGCAGACGTGGAACTGCCAGCCTGTTCTGATTCAAGTTAAAGTCTTATGATATCCTTAACTGATGTGAATTTAGGCAGATTTTTTTTCCCCCACTGTAGTTCCTGGTGTGAAGGACATTGGCCTAGACCAGCACTGGCTGTGTAGTACCAGGGACAGTGGAGGGAATGTTGAGATTTCAGTCTGAGAATAGGCTGGGCCTGCTATTGGGAGTGCCTATATCCTCAACCTCCCAACCACAACAGACCTCTTTCCTTGAACAGATTTTCCAAATGTGAGCATCTACCTTTTAAAGTAGAATGGGTGAAGGAGTAAGAGAAAGCACAGGGGATTTTAATGTGATCTAATGCTTAAAACAGATGGCACCCTCAATAAATGTTTTTTGTTAGTTAATCCTTCATAGGAATGAAGATGGCGTTTAAGGGAAAAGCAGCTGAGCTGTCTCATTCCTCTGTCCTTGAATTAAATCCTGGAGTTCCGCACTACTGTGGGGAGGCAGAGAAGGGTTAGGAACATTGTGAAATGCATCCAAAGGTTGAAATGTCACTCTAACCTTCTCTCCTGATAGGAATCAGCAGTAGCCTTCCTTGAAGAATTCCTTTCCCATTTGCTGTCTGGAGTTAACACTGTTTCCTGCTGCCAGAGTCGGGGATATGCCAGCACTGTAAGGCTTAATCTCCTGATTCTCTTACCAATATCTTGGTTTGGGTGGGGTGAGCAGGGAGGAATCTGGAGACCTTGATTTTCTCTCATATCTCTTTAGTCAATTCAAGTCACAGCCCATGTACCTCTTTTCTTGTTGATCCTTCTTCCTATAAATCTGTTTCCTGTTTCCTCTAGTACCTTTATGGTTCTCTCCTATTTTTTCATTCCCTTTACCCTGTCCATACCCACTGCCAAGGGTTTGGATTCTGTGCTGATGGGGTACCCTTTTCTGCAGAGCGGGATGAGTGGGTGCTCCGGCGGGGATGTGGTCGTTGATGGCCAGTGAAGGCGAGAGCACCACGGCCCATTTCTTCCTGGGAGCTGGAGATGAGGGGCTGGGCACCCGTGGAATAGGCATGAGGACGGAAGAGAGTGACAGCGAGCTCCTTGAGGACGAGGAGGATGAAGTGGTAAGATCAGCAAAAAGGATGTAACTTGTTGGAGACCCTTGTCACAGACGGTTGAGATTTCATGGGATGGAGATACTTGTTAGTTCTTTCCAGATGCGCAGACTTCTTGTCAAAAATAGACCCTATCCTGGTTTAGGGGAGGGGCAGAAGAGACTGGTTAGATTGCCTCTCCTTGAAACTCCTACCCTATGCCCTCCTCCTATTGTCTCATAGCAACCGGCTTCCTGGCTCTTCTGCCTGAGCACATTTTTTACTCTGGAAATGCTCCTATTCTGTAGGTAATAGAATCCCTAGATGTGCCTTAACCCAGATCAATGTTAGGAGGCATCCATTATCCCACAGGTTCAAGTCCTGGGAAGAAATTGTGCTCTAAGGAGATGAAACAGTATTTTTTTTAAGCATCTCATTAAAACAAATTTTTTTTTTTTTTTTTTTGGACAGGCAGAGTGCACAGTGAGAGAGAGACAGAAAGGTCTTCCTTTGCCGTTGGTTCACCCTCCAATGGCCGCTGCGGCCGCTGCACTGCGGCCGGCGCACCGCGCTGATCCGATGGCAGGAGCCAGGTACTTATCCTGGTCTCCCATGGGGTGCAGGGCCCAAGTACTTGGGCCATCCTCCACTACACTCCCGGGCCACAGCAGAGAGCTGGCCTGGAAGAGGAGCAACCGGGACAGAATCCGGTGCCCTGACCGGGACTAGAACCCGGTGTGCTGGCACCACAAGGCGGAGGATTAGCCTAGTGAGCCGCAGCGCCTGCCTCATTCAAATTTTTTTAAAATTTTACTTATTTATTTAAGATTATTTATTTGAAAGGCAGAGTTAGAGAAAGGCAGAGTCAGAGAGGGAAAGAGAGAGGTTTTCTATCTGTTGATTTACTCCTCAAATGGCTGCCACAGCTGGAGCTGGGCTGATCCGAAGCTAGGAGCTTCTTCCGGGTTTCCCACACAGGTGCAGGTGCTCAAGGACTTGGGCCATCTTCTATTGCTTCCAGGCCATAGCAGAGAGCTGGCTTGGAAGAGGAGCAGCTGGGACTTCAGCTGGAGTCCATATGGGGTGCTGGTACTGCAGGCGGCAGCTTTACCCACTACACCACAGTGCCTGCCCTGAAACAATATTTCTTGATGGGAGTGCTATATGAGGGTAGTTTCTGATTTCTTGATCACACTTCCTCTCTTTAGCCTCCTGAACCTCAGATCATCGTTGGCATTTGTGCCATGACCAAGAAATCCAAGTCCAAACCAATGACTCAAATCCTAGAGCGACTCTGCAGATTTGACTACCTGACTGTTATCATCCTGGGAGAAGATGTGATCCTCAATGAACCTGTGGAAAACTGGCCGTCCTGTCACTGCCTCATCTCTTTCCACTCCAAAGGTTGGGGTCTGAGAAGGAAAATAGGAAGGAGTGGTGGTGGGAATGCTGGCTTGGGAAATTAGGTTCTTACTGCCCTACTTCCTTAGTTAAGAGGCCATCAGTGCCTTCTAACACTCTAGAGAACAGTGCCCAGGGGTTTGCTTTCCCTACATATCATAAGAGTTGCCTGGGAATAGTTAAAGCCCACATCCTGTTATCAGGACAGCCCTCAGCCTCCTAGGCACTCTGACAGAACTGAGTCTCTGGAAAGACCTGAAAAATAATTTCTCTTTTACTTCTTCCTAATGAATATCCTAGACTGGGGAAGCTGGGCAGAAGGATTTGTGATGGGTTGGATGGGGAGGGGAGTTCAGTGGCAGCTATAGTATGTCTATCTCTTACTGATTTCTCACTGTATCTTTTTCACTCTGTTTCTTTGGTCTGTTTCCTTTCTCCATCCCAGGCTTTCCTCTGGACAAAGCTGTTGCTTACTCCAAGCTTCGAAACCCCTTTCTTATCAATGATTTGGCCATGCAGTATTACATCCAAGATAGGTATAGCTTTCTGTTGACCAGTGGGATGGGTGACCCTGAGATCATGCCTGTTTAGGAAACTCATTCTGGGAGGGCAGTCAAATAAATGCTCTTACTTTTTGTACTGTTCCCTACTGAGTTTTCTGCCCCAATATCTTCTGATCCCTGTACAAATGAACTCCCTAGCTTCTCCCCTTAGCCTCCCCATCCAGCCTCTCCCAGCTAATGTATTTGGGGGTGACAGGAGGGAGGTGTACCGGATCCTGCAAGAGGAAGGTATCGATCTGCCTCGATATGCTGTGCTCAATCGTGACCCTGCCCGGCCTGAGGGTGAGTATCTGACCTTGCCCAGCCTACCTTGCCTTGTCCTCTGTGACAACCCAGTTCTCCATCCTGAGGACACTAACTATGCACCACCTATCTGTGTGGGGCTCTGGTTATTGGATTGTGGCTAGGGTTGGAGCTATGGGTCTTTGGATGGAATTTTGAAACCATTATGAGGATAATTCAAACAGCTTGTATAAATGGGATTAAATGATTAGTTTATTTTGGCATAAAAGGAGTTTATTTGGACGACCAAGTGATCTTTAAAAAGTTCAAGAAAAAATTACGTTATGATAAAATTATGCACAGATTCAAATTTTGCACCAAATCTGTTTTTTGTTTTTGTTTTTGTTTTTGTTTTCTTTTTTTTTGATTAGAGACAGAGAGCTCCCAGTCTCCCTAAATGCCTGCAACAGCCAGAACAGGGCTAGACTGAAGCCAGGAACCAGGAACACAAGCCAGTTCTCCCATATGGTTGCAGGGACCTAAATACTTGAGCCATCACCTGCTGCCTCCTGGAATTTGCATTGACAAGCAACTGGAATTGGGAGCAAAGCTCTAGGAATCTAAATTTATCTTTTAATTAAAATTTTCATGAACTTTTTGAAGTTCCTTTATATACAGACATTGTCATCTATAAGTATATACCATGTACAGATATTTTCATATCTGTTACTATGATATATCACAAAAACTTGAGGACTATGGAGATTAAAACTCAGGGAAATCCAAGTTGGAAATATTCTGTTACCTCAGGCCCTACTACTTTTCAGAGTGTAACCTGATAGAAGGTGAAGACCAAGTAGAAGTCAATGGAGCTGTCTTTCCCAAGCCCTTTGTGGAGAAGCCAGTGAGTGCAGAGGACCACAATGTTTACATCTACTACCCCAGCTCAGCTGGAGGAGGAAGTCAGCGCCTCTTCCGTAAGGTGGGGAAAACTTTTGAGCATCTGGGGAATCAGAAAGGTAGAAAGACAAGGATAAGGTTGTTGGGAAGGAGGTTAGATAATTTGGGGACAGGATGGAGGGTTGAGGCAATATTTTTCTTTTCTTCCTTTTCCTCCTGAAGATTGGCAGCCGAAGCAGCGTTTACTCTCCTGAGAGCAGCGTCCGAAAGACAGGGTCGTACATCTATGAGGAGTTTATGCCAACAGATGGCACAGATGTCAAGGTTATGGTGGATGTAGGGATTAAGAGGATGTAAATGCATGGGTGGGAGTGGCTTGGTTGGGAAGCAAGTGGAAATGTATGGAAAGGATTCTAGAAAACAGAGTGAATGTAACTGGCTCTTATATTTGAGTGATAGCATGGGGAAGATGTAGACATTCACATTTTCACTATCAGAGCAAGGGAAAGGGGGTGACAAGGAAATGCTACAATGGGAAATTGTTTCTTGATGAGGACCAGATAATAACATTTGAGTCCCAAGAAGAAACCTTCATAGTGATCTGGCAGTGAGGCTCCATAAGAAAAATGTCAGGGATTTTGTTTTTGTTTTTGTTTTTGTTTTACTTACTCTGAAACTAGTCCACAGACCTAGTGCTCATGTTGTCTTCTTGTATACAGGGTGAGCTGTGGGCATACTCAGTGATGCTATGTACCTGCAGGTATATACAGTGGGGCCAGATTATGCCCATGCTGAAGCTAGAAAATCTCCAGCTTTGGATGGGAAGGTCGAGCGCGACAGTGAAGGGAAGGAGATTCGATACCCAGTCATGCTGACAGCCATGGAAAAGCTGGTGGCCAGGAAAGTCTGTGTAGCCTTTAAGGTAGGCAGAGACCCACGAGGAGCTGTGGAATGAGGGACAGAGTTGGGAGCAGGGTTCTGGGAAGAAAGAATGAATGTTTTATTCTTGTCTTGCCTCTTTCTCTCGTAGCAAACAGTTTGTGGATTTGACCTTCTTCGTGCCAATGGTCACTCCTTCGTATGTGATGTCAATGGCTTCAGTTTTGTCAAGAACTCAATGAAATACTATGATGACTGTGCCAAGATTTTAGGGTAAGAGACATAGTCGTCCAAACTGGGGAGAATGGGCCTAGAGGAGAGAGTTAAAATGTATTTACTTTAAATATTGTAAAAGCGATTTAGAAGGAAAAAAGAGAAAGGACTTCTTTCCCCCTTTGACTTTCCAATACCACATTCCTCAGAGATAATTACTGTTAACAGTTTTAGACATAGCATTGTCTTTTTTTGCCATGTACAAATAAACTATAATTACTTTACTAAATGGGATCCTACTGTAGTACTATTCTGCAACTTGACTTAAAAAAAACCATCATGTTGGGTGAGAATTTAGCCTACTTGTGAAGACACTTATGTCCCATAACGCAGTACCTGGATTTGGTACCTGACTCTGGTTCCTGACACCAGCTTCCTGCTAATGCAGACTCTGGGAACCAGTAGTGACTGCTCAAGAGATGGGATTCCTGCCACCCATGTAGGAGATCTGGATTGAATTCTCAGCTTCTGATTTTGACCCTGGCCCAGCCCCAGCCATTTTGGGCATTCTGGGAGTAAACCAGCACATGGGGAGTGTGCACTCTTTCTCTCACTCACTTTCTGTCAAAGAAATAAAACATTTTTTAAATCATCTTGAAATGTTTAAACCATTCAAAAATATGTAAGGAATGATGAATATGGTGAACATCCATATATTTATCTTCTAGCTTAGGAAATATTTTTATAATAAACATTTTAAAATTTTTATTTATTGTTTTTAAGACTTACTTATTTGAAAGGCAGAGGCAGAGAGAGATAGAGGTCTTCCATCTGCTGGTTCACTCCCCAGATGGCCAAATGGCAGGAGCTAGGTCAATTCAAAGCCAGGAGCCAGGAGCTTCTTCCAGATCTCCCATGCAGGTGCAGGGGCCCAGAGACTTGGACCATTCTCTACTGCCCTCCCAGGCCATAGCAGAGAGCTGGATCAGAAGTGGAACAGCTGGGACTAGAAACGGCGCCCACATGGGATGCCGCGCTTCAGGTCAGGGCGTTAACCCACTGCGCCACAGCGCCAGCCCCTCATTCATTTTCACATTTCTCTTTTTTCTCCTAGGAACACCATAATGCGGGAGCTTGCCCCACAGTTCCAGATCCCATGGTCCATCCCCACAGAGGCTGAGGACATTCCCATTGTCCCTACCACATCTGGCACTATGTAAGCAAAAGTTAAAAAATCCAGAGTGTCCTACTTAATACACTTGGAATTCCTTTAGCCAGACTAATGGTTATTTCTTGACCCCGCACTGACTAGTGGCACCTGAGTCTCTTCTAAATAGTCTCCTTAGCTCTACCTGTATTCCTAATCTCAGATCCCTTTTCCTCTGTTCTTTGACATGTCAAGTAGGATGCGATAATGGGAGATGGGGAGGGGCTCTGATAACATTTCCCATCTTAGGATGGAACTTCGTTGTGTTATTGCAATTATTCGTCATGGGGATCGTACTCCCAAGCAGAAGATGAAGATGGAGGTGACACATCCAAGGTAGGAAGAGTGTTCTAGTTTAGAGACACGTTTTTTGAGTACGATGGGTGAGGGAAACTCCCAGAAGCTTTAACTGTCTGATTGCACACTGAAACTTCTTACTTCTTCAGGTTTTTTACTCTATTTGAAAAACATGGTGGATACAAGACAGGGAAATTAAAACTCAAGAGACCTGAGCAGCTTCAGGTAAGGTAGAGACTCTAGCCTGGAGTTGAATTTTCTGAAAAAGATAGTGTATGGGATTGGGGCCTTGATGAGGGAGAGACTGACTAGGATGAAAGGGTAACTTGGCCTTCATCATGGGTTCCTTATTATTTCCTCTAGGAGGTGCTGGACATCACAAGGCTGCTGTTAGCTGAACTAGAGCAAGAACCAGGTGGTGAGATCGAGGAGAAGACTGGAAAGCTAGAACAGCTGAAGTCTGTGTTGGAGATGTGAGAAAGGGGATAGCAAAAGGGAGCCAATGACCATGAGGAATTGGGGTGCTGGGGAAGAGAGCAAACTGTGACTTTCTCCTGCAGGTATGGTCACTTCTCAGGTATCAACCGGAAGGTGCAGTTGACGTATTACCCTCATGGAGTAAAAGCTTCTAATGAGGGGCAAGGTAAGATACAGTCTCCCTTTCTATTACCACCCAGATCTCTTGTAGATCCAGTTGCATGTCAAGGGGCCTGCTCCGGCTAATTATTCTCAGCTCATTCTCAATAGTAGAGAATGGGGCCGGATACTAGCCAAAACTTCTTCACGTTGGCACATGAAAGATGGCTACTCCCCCAGATGACCTTTCTGTTCTCCTCAGAAGACCTAACATTTAGATGTTCCCACTGTTTTCTTATTCCCTCAGATCCACAGGAGGAGGCTCTGGCCCCAACTTTACTGCTGGTGCTGAAGTGGGGTGGAGAACTGACGCCTGATGGCCGTGTGCAGGCTGAGGAGCTGGGACGAGCTTTTCGCTGCATGTACCCTGGAGGACAGGGTGAGTATCTTGGAGGTGTAGATATCAAGCAGGGCTAGAAAAAGATGATTATTGAATAAGTTAGGGGACATGAAGGGACAGAGGCAATGAAGGGAAGTTAGAGGGGAAATGAGGGTTCTTCCTTCCATGTTGGTATTTATAGCAATCTGTTCCTTTGCTCCCTAGGTGACTATGCTGGCTTCCCAGGCTGTGGGCTGCTTCGTCTTCACAGCACATTCCGCCACGACCTCAAGATCTATGCCTCGGATGAAGGCCGTGTCCAGATGACTGCTGCTGCCTTTGCCAAGGTGCATACTACAGTTTTTCCACAGGCCCGGCTTCCATTAGGTAGATAAACAGAGTTTAGAGAACTGTTGGAAAGTTTCAGGGTGTTGATGTGCCAACATGAAGAAGTTTTGGCTAGTATCCAGCCCCATTCTCTACTATTGATAATGAGCTGAGAATAATTAGCCAGAACAGGCCCTTGACATGCAACTGGATCTTCAAGCCAGCTCTCATTGCATCTCTGGACCATTTAGGCCTAGGAGGCCTGGCCTGGAGAGGCACCTGATGGAATTTGTGCTTCCTCATCAGGGTCTTTTAGCTCTAGAAGGGGAACTGACTCCTATTTTGGTACAAATGGTGAAGAGTGCCAACATGAATGGGCTCCTAGACAGCGATGGTGATTCCCTGAGCAGCTGCCAGCACCGCGTGAAAGCTCGGCTACACCATATTTTGCAGCAGGATGCAACCTTTGGCCCTGAGGACTATGATCAGGTCAGGCTCATCCTATCTGTGCTCCAAATTTCCTGAATCCTAAATTCCTAGAATTCTAAATAATAGTGACCAGTAATAGTAGTACTAACTGCATGCCAGACATTGTTTTAAGTATTTTACATATCTTATCTCATTTAATCCTTATAGTAACCCTTTGAGATAAATACAGGTCCATAATCTTTTATCCATAATTTCAAAAAATAGGGATTTTTAGAGGTGTGGTATCAAGACTTATTTGGCAGCCGAAACTGACATGAGCTGTCAAGACTATTTATAATCCTTATTTATCCCACTTAGTGTAAATAATCATATGTTTTGCTTCTAAATATTAATGTTTGGTTATGTCTTAGGCCCTGCTTGGAGGTATTATGTATTATGATATGAGCACTATATTAACTTCTAAAGTTAAAAAAAAATCAATTCCAAATGCAACTGAGCCCAAGGATTTTGAATAAAAGAATGTTTCAGTTATCTGTTGTATAAAAAACTAGTCTAAAACTTAGTAACTTAGGGGCCAGTGCTGTGACATAGCAGGTAAATTTGCTGCTTGTGGCACTGTCATCCCACTTGGGTGCTGATTTGAGACCTAGCTGCTCCCCTTCAGATCCAGCTCCCTGCTAATGCACATGGGAAAGCAGCAGGAGATGGCCCAAGTGTTTGGGCCCCTATATTCACATGGGAGACTTGGAAGAAGCTTCTGGCTCCTGGCTTTGGAATGGCCCAGCTCTGGCTGTTGAGGCCATTTTGGGAGTGAACCAGTGGATGGAAGACCTCTCTCTTTGTCTCTCTATCTCTCTATAACTGCCTTTCAAGTAAACAAATCTTCAAACAAACGACAATAAAAAAAAAAAAAAAACCTTAGCAACTTAATACAACAACCATTTTATTGTCTCTCACAGTACCGGACTCAGCTGGTTTTGCTTGGGGTTTCTCCTAAAATTGCAGACAGATGTCTGAGACTGGAACCATCTGGAAGTTTGGAAGTTTGATGGGGATTCGGGGATGGCTGGCTCTCCCTATAATCTCAGAACATCTCCTCTCCACATGTTTTCTTCATGTGGTTTCTGTAGCCTGGTAGCTGGACTTATTAAATGGTAGCTTAAGACTCCCCAAAAGCAGAAGCTTCTCAGCTTTCTTGAAGTCCAGGCCCAGATTCAGCACAATATAGCTTTGTTTTGTTTTACTGCTGAAGTGCTCATGCTCACAGAGCCAAAGGAGATAAAGAATTAATTACTGTCATTAATCCACCATGAGGAATGTAGACTTGTGCTTTTCTCTCATTTTACGCATGAGGAAACCTAGGCACTGAAGAATTTGTGCTGTTTTTCCCTGGTCATCCAGCCTGCATGAACCCAGTGAATTTACCTTCAGAGCTCAGGCTGTTATGCACTGTAGTCTACTGCCTCACAGTGTTAGTCACAGTGGAGACCATTAACCCACATGGTCATCCTTCTTCATATGTGTCTAGGCCATGATTCACCAGGCAGTGTTTTCTACTATCCCATTTCTCATTTCTGACTGGTTCTTTTAAAAAAATATTTTTTATTTTTTATTTTATTTTTTTTAAAGATTAATTTTATTTATGTGAAAGAGTTACAGAGAGAGGCAGAGACAGAGAGAGAGGTCTTCCATCTGATGGTTCACTTCCAAGATGGCCGCAACGGCCGGAGCTGCACCGATCTGAAGCCAGGAGCCAGGAGCTTCTTCCGGGTCTCCCACATGGGTGCAGGGGCCCAAGGACCTGGGCCATCCTCTACTGCTATCTCAGGCCATAGCAGAGAGCTGGATTGGAAGAGGAGCAGAACTGGCGCCCATATGGGATGCCGGTGCGTTAGGCCAGGGCGTTAACCCGCTGTGCTACAGCACCGGCCCCAAAATGTTTATTTTTTAAACTTTGGTACCACTGTAACCATTTTAAAGTGGATAGTTCTGTGTTATTAAGTGTACTCACATTGCTGTGTTCGCATTTCTGATAGTTTTTTTTTTTTTTAAGGATTTATTTATTTATTTGAAAGTCAGAGTTACACAGAAGGAGAGGCAGAGAGGGAGGGAGGGAGAGAGGGCGGGTGGGCAGGCGGGCTTCCATCCAATGGTTCACTCCCCAGTTGGCAGCAACGACCAGAGCTGCGCCAATCCAAAGCCAGGAGCTTCTTCCGGGTCTCCCAGCTGAGTGCAGGGGCCCAAGGACTTGGGCCATCTTCTACTGCTTTCCCAGACCATAGCAGAGAACTGGATGGAAAATGGAGCAGTCGGTACTTGAACTGGTGCCCATATGAGATGCTGGCACTGCAGGTGGCGGCTTTACCTGCTATGCCACAGCACTGGCCCCCTGATAGCTTCTTCTTTTTTTTTTTTTTTTTTTTTGACAGGCAGAGTGGACAGTGAGAGAGAGAGACAGAGAGAAAGGTCTTCCTTTGCCGTTGGTTCACCCTCCAATGGCCACTGCGGCTGGCGCGCTGCGGCCGGTGCACCGCACTGATCCGATGGCAGGAGCCAGGTACTTATCCTGGTCTCCCATGAGGTGCAGGGCCCAAGCACTTAGGCCATCCTCCACTGCCTTCCCGGGTCACAACAGAGAGCTGGCCTGAAAGAGGGGCAACCGGGAAAGAATCCGGTGCCCCGACTGGGACTAGAACCCGGTGTGCCGGCGCCGCCAGGTGGAGGATTAGCCTATTGAGCCGCGGCGCTGGCCCTGATAGCTCTTAAATATGCTAAGTAACTGAGCACATTGCTTAGGAAATAAGATTTACTTTATTCTCCTTTAAATATGACTTGATAAGGTATGAAACCTTGCCACCTTATTTTCCAACCCATTGCTCAATGTCAAATCCAAAAATCCAAGGCAACTTTCCCTTGCTTCCATTTGCTAGCAAGAATGGAGCTTGTGAAAACTTAGGTAGAATCATGTATTCCACCCACAATCTTCTTTCTCCCTCCTTACTCCCCAATGACTGTGACTTAACTAAAGGCTTGAGTTGGAACCAAGTCCAACTCAACCTCTACCCCAGGTCTAGACAGGATGTTAGCTTTAGTATCTGCTCATGAAAACATTCTATGGAGATCTTGGTTTAATCTTTATCCCCCAGTATTTTCTGCATGTATTCTAAAGGCTTCAAGAAAAGAACTTAGGTATGTTTTATTCTCTCTGGACTTCAAAGCTATTAAGATTGACTCCTGGTAGATGACCATGTACAGGAGCAGCCTTCTCATCTGGAGGCCCTAAAATTACTGGAATGCTTGTTGGAGTGAGTCAATAAGCAGATCTGTGTGGCAGACATCTCTTTGTAGTAAGCTCACAGGAATCTGAGGAGTCTGTCTTGCTTTTCATCTCTCTATTCCCCCACACAGCTGGCTCCCACTGGAAGCACTTCCCTGATCAACTCCATGACCGTCATCCAGAATCCTGTGAGGGTCTGTGATCAGGTATTTGCCCTGATTGAAAACCTCACCCACCAGATCCGGGAACGGATGCAGGACCCCAAGTCTGTAGGTGAGTGTGAATCCTCCTGTTCCTTTCAACATCTGTGGGATGAGTTGCTTTCTAAGGCTTGCTTGTGTCTTCTCCCGAGTGTCTGACACCAAGCACCCTCATCCCCTGCTTCTACTTCTGAATCATCAGGAACTTCCGTTAGAGGTAAAATCTGGCTCTGACTTGTTGCCTTCCTTCCAGACCTGCAGCTGTACCACAGCGAGACACTAGAGCTTATGCTACAGCGTTGGAGCAAGTTGGAACGTGACTTCCGACAGAAGAGTGGGCGCTATGATATCAGTAAGATCCCTGACATCTATGACTGTGTCAAGTATGACGTGCAGCACAATGGGAGCCTGGGACTTCAAGGCACAGCAGAGTTGCTCCGTCTCTCTAAGGCATTGGCTGATGTGGTCATCCCCCAGGTGTGTCTCATAGGTGATCCAGCCTGGGGATATGGCATTGAGGAAGGAAGGAGAGAAAAGGTAGAAAGAAGAGATGATTTGGGAATCAGGGGAAGGAAACTTAGAGAAGGAATGGTTGAGTTACTACAGTTCACAAGGTCTACTCTGGTCCTGGCTAAGTACAGGAGTAACTGAGGAGCTACCTGGAGAGGGACTGTGGCAGATGTGAAGGAAACCATAGACCTGAGGTGAAGACAGGCATGATCTTGGGCCTGGGAGTGTGAGGCAAGAGGAGAACAAGATTCACTGAGGTGCTTATTCCTGGCCTATGGCCCCTAGGAGTACGGGATCAGTCGGGAGGAGAAACTGGAAATTGCCGTGGGCTTCTGTCTTCCTCTGTTGCGGAAGATACTACTTGACCTGCAGAGAACCCACGAGGATGAGTCTGTCAACAAGCTGCATCCCCTGTGAGGGAGGGCTGGGAGGGGTGCTGGATGGAGGGAGGGGTGTGTCAGGGAGTCCTGGGGGAAAGAAGGTGGGGAACCAAGGACAGCAGGAATCCTGGGATGGAAAGGAGAGGTCTCTGAGGGGGGAGGAGGGAGCTTGGGAAGGGTGGGGAGAGGACGACCTGACCGTGTGAGTGATTGAGCTGTCACCTCAGGTACTCCCGAGGAGTGCTCTCCCCAGGCCGCCACGTTCGAACACGTCTCTATTTCACCAGTGAGAGCCACGTCCACTCCCTGCTCAGTGTCTTCCGTTACGGGGGACTTCTTGATGTAAGGATCCTCCTTCCTCTAGCCTGTGAACACCTCCCCTGGCGTTCTTTTCCTCTCCTCACGCTTGTTCCTTACTGCAAGCTTCCTGTCTTCTCCTTGGCTCCCTCCCCCTTCGCTGACTCCTCTGGCCTTAGGCCTTGGCCTACCTCCTTCTGTGTTTGGCAGGAGACCCAGGATGCCCAATGGCAGCGAGCTTTGGCTTATCTTAGTGCCATCTCAGAACTCAACTACATGACTCAGATTGTCATCATGCTTTATGAAGACAACACTCGGGTGAGTAGCTAACAGTGTGGGAGGAAGAAGGGGCCCCTCATTTTTACCTTTATTAAAAAGGAGCAAAAATTTTTTTTGGGATATATTTATTTATTTGAAAGACAGAGAAGGGCAGAGGCAGAGAGAGAGGGGTCTTCCATCTGCTGGTTCACTCCTCAAATGGCTGCAACAGTCGGAGCTGGTCCAGTCTGAAGCCAGGAGCTTCTTCTGGGTCTCCCATGCGGGTGCAGGGGCCCAAGGACTTGGGCCATCTTCCACTGTTTTCCCAGGCCATTGCAGAGAACTGGATCAGAAGAGGAGCAGCTAGGATTTGAACTGGCACCCACATGGGATGCTGGCACTGCAAGCGACGGCTTTACCCACTACGTCACAGCACTGGCCCCTAAAAACTTCTTTGCTTTAGAATTTGTAGAATCCAGCTAGGTGAGACACCTAGGCACAGCATGACACAGAGCATCCAGAGATTTCTTCTGGAACAAAGACTGTGTTCTGAGATGGTGTTGAGTCAGAGAGAGAACCTCAAACACCACTATAGCATTAAGGCAAGTATAGAATTTAGGACAGTTATGAGTCTTTTTTTTTTTTCCCTCAAACGTGGTTGTACATATACTCTCTGCAAAAAGCCTCACAAAGGCATCTTTTTTTTTCTTTAATCAAATGTTTATTCTGAAATTGTGATACCTCAATTATATTAACTAACCAGTAGTTTCTTTAATTAGACCCTGCTTTGAAGGTTAAGATTTTTAGAGTAATGGAAAAGGAGCTAGGACAATTCTTGCTTTCAAGTAAAATTGTGACTGAGCAGAAAATTAGCCAGACATCTTGGTGCAAAGGTACTCCAAGTACTGAGGGATTCTGATGACTTCCACGTCACTGGGATCCAGCAGAAGGAAAGTTTTAGAAGATTCACCTAAGAAGCTCTACCAAAGAAACAAAACAAGCACACCAAAGACAGTCTTCTATTACGCTCCAGCATCCTGGCATAGCAACTTTTTGCATATTTGTTTTCAATCTTTTACAATTCTCATGAGTGATGACAAAGGCATATTTAACTGTGCTGCACTGTGCACCATAAGCAAAGCGGAACTACTGTGGGAGATGGAAGGGAGGGGCTGTAGAACTGGAATGGCAAAAGTCATGTGCAGTGGTGAATCACACATAGTGGGAGGTGAGGGAGTGAGGATCCTAAAACAAACTCTGGTTGAGAGGAAACTGTGACGGATCAGTCCCAGAATGGAGCAAGACACTACAACCTCAGTCCCAGCTTTCCTGGGAGGGTATACCCTCTCGAACTCCTCTCTCTTGCCCCTGCTTAGTCTTCCACCGCCATGTCCAGCTTATCCTAACTGCCCCTTCATCTGCTGCTGCCACATAGGATCCCCTGTCAGAGGAACGGTTCCATGTGGAGCTGCACTTCAGCCCTGGAGTGAAAGGTGTGGAGGAAGAAGGCAGTGCCCCGACTGGCTGTGGCTTCCGTCCTGCCTCTTCTGAGGTGGGTCCCAGTGCTGGGATTGGGGACTGAAGGACTTGGGAACCAAGCTGGGAAACAGTGCAGGGAGGTATAAAGGGCATAATTCCTCTTCGCTTTGCCTGTTATTGAACAGAATGAGGAAATGAAAGCAGACCAAGGTAGCATAGAGAACTTGTGCTCAGGCAAGACACCAGATGAGCCGGACCGGGCATCGCAGATTTCACCGCAGCCTCCCGAGGGCCCTGGCCTCCCGAGGAGATCGCCCCTCACTCGTAACCGAAAAGCCGGCTCCATGGAGGTAATGGGAAGGGCTGGGGGAAAGACAGAGGAGTGGAAATGCTCTTGGGATGAAATCCGTGTTTCCTCTGCGTCCCCTTGCCAGGGGAGTTCTTGACACCTGAAACAGTCCTCCCACCCCTGTTTTACTTGATCTGTTTCACAGCTGCTTCCTCTAGAGCTGCTTTAAAGTGGTTGCTGCTCTGAGATTGCCGAGTTTGCAGTGAGGGTACCTGAGAGGGAAGGGTTATGAGAGCTGAGACTGAGGAGGAGGTGCCTGGATGAGTTTGAAAAGGCAGGTGTTAAAAAGGAAATAGAGTATAACAACATGAACTCTGGGGCAAAAATCCCAGCCTGATGCTTAGAAGCTGAGTGACCTTGCCTAGGTCACTTAACCTCTCTATGCCTCAATTTTTTTTTTCCTCCTGTGAAATAAAACCATCTTGCAGAGACTCCATAAGCAAGCACTTTAATAGCAACATAATCTGTTTTAAAGACCAGGCCCTTTTCATCTGTTTGTTGCCTTGGATAAAAATTACAGCTCAGACAGAAGCAAATACCTGACATTTCACTCCCTATAGAGTTATCTATGCCATCATTTCAGAGAGGAAATCAGTCTGGAGGGCTGCCTGGCTTGCTGTTGTCCTGAAGAGGAGGTTTATGTGCCAGAACCTGTGTTCCACGGTCCCTGAAGTTTGTCTCTGGTTGTGGTTCTAATTCTCCAGTCTAGAGGAAGGAACTGTTACTCATCCTACATGTGTCCAGCTGATTGTCCTGGGGCTTTTGTTTTTGGTCTTTTTCCCAGAGAGATGTTTGCTTCTTTTCCCCAATGACACTGATGCCATGATTTATCCTTGTCTGATTTGGATCCTGCTCTGACCCAGTAAATCTTTTTGCTTGGCTCTGAACCAGGTCTCTATCTTAGCGGAATTAGTTTTCTCATTTCAGTGATACCTTAGAATAAGCTGTAACTAACTTTTCCAGGTTTAGCCAGAGGTTTAAAGTTCAGGCTTGGGAGAAAGCGGAGAAGACAAATTACGTACAGTCTTCTGTGGACCCCTCCTGTACTTCTTGATTATTGTAGTGGCTAGATGGAGTTTCTTTCGGTGAGATATACATTATTTCCCCATTGAGGTATATGTGTAACTTGATGTACTCTAGTACTTATGGGAAATAGATCAAATGGACAGAATGGCATATAATCAGCCGTCAGCCAGCTGCTCCTCCATGTCTGCCTTTCCCTTTGGCACAGTCTGCTCGTCTCCCCATCACTGCCGTGCTTGACTCCCTTTTTCCTTGCTGTGTAAGCAGTCAGGAAACAGGCAGAGGGGAGCTCTCTTTGTCCTCTCTCACAGTTGAGGAGACTGACTGCTTTGTTTCAGACCTACAGGACGCTTCCTGTTGTAATCACACTTCTTCCTTTCAGTTACTAGTGCTGTGTGGACCCTGGCTCTTCCAGGGTGATGCTGCCCTAGCATGTTCTCTGCAGCTTTGCAAGGAAGTCTCTCTCTTCTGTGGTCATCCAGTCTTGTGATGTTAATGCTTCCTTCCCCTGATATACAAGTGTAGGCTTTGGACAGTCTTATCCTTAACAATAACACCCTTTCTCCCTTCCCTTCTTCTTTCAATCATCTCGTGTTTTTGGAGTGTTTTAGATGACAAAACCTGTGACCTTCACAGCAGCTATGCCCTGGCTGGTCATTCTCTCTTGCCCTATAGCTAGCTCTGCCCTATAGGCACTGGGGCTTTTGGGAGCCTGGAGTTAAAGCAGCCATGACTGGCTTTCTACCCGGTGTGATTGCAGGTCATGAACATGCAGTGCACAGGGAACCTGGACCTCATCCCCTTGCGGGGACGGCGCCGCCGGAGGTCAGGAGACCTCCCCCGGTCTTCCCCAGCCATCGGCCTTCAGCCCCGGGCTGTGTCCACCACTCACCTGGCGTCCTGCACACAGGTGTCCCTCCCTACCTTGCCTCCCTTTCCTGCCTCTGTCTACCTTTTGGGATCTAGGGACTCGGAACACTTTCTAGGTGGGATGTGTATATATTGGGGGCTGTGCGATTAGAACCCCATGGGCATTTTAAGAAATCTGTCTTATGTGCCCAGGAGTGAGCTATTGGAGGGGAGGGCTTGTTGTTTTAGATAAGAAACAGAATGGTTGCAGTAGCCACAGCTGTCCAATGGAAAGAAGAGAGGGTGGCCAGGTTTTATTATTGTTGGCTGAGCCATTGTGATGAGCTTTCTGAATCCTGGGGAGGAGTGGGTAAGATCAAGGACCCCTGCTCACCTGAGAATCAGGATGGTTGAACAATGATTTCTCAGATTTGGGATGGGAAGACTGGGGACAGGTGTCTTGGAAATAGAAGTGTCTTCTAGTAAAGAAGGATTTCCCTCTGCAAAGTCCACTCTAGTCCCTTTTCATTTTCTCTCACCCCTAAAAAAAAATCTTTGGTTCTTTCACTTTCTGATGCTGCTTGGCTTTATAGGGGCAGGAATTCAGGACCTAGGTTTAAACGTCTGGGTTGGAGGGGCCACGTGATAACACAGACTCTTTTTCTGCAGGTGCTTTCTGAGACTTCATCCTCCAGGCCTGGTGGCTATCGGCTCTTCTCATCCTCACGGCCACCAACAGAGATGAAGCAGAGTGGCCTAGGTATGGATTTCCAGTGCCTCTCAACTGTTGGTGGAAGGGGTTGTCTGTCTGTTCTTCAGAGTTTTGTTGGGGGAAACCTTTGTCATGGGTGTTGGTGCCATCCAGTCAGTGGAATTGTCAGGTGGGGGTAGGGAGGATGAAGTAAGAGAGGCTAGTTAGGTGTGAACTTGAATCTCAGATGATTGTTTCCATTCCAGGAAGGTGTTTATCTCTTCATTTTCTACACCAACCCCCATATTCCTTGCCGAATGGTATTTTTCTGGCTTTCCCTCTCATTCCTTATCTGTCCCTCCAGTCTAGCCCAGACCTTAAGGGGCCATGGAGACTCTGAACCTTCAGAGTTATCAGAGACAGAGCTATAGAGGTACTTGTGACCCCATAAATGTCATATTCCCTATTTGGAGAACTTGTGCCTTGTCTTCCTCTGAAACCTGTGTTTTTCACATCCCTTCCCTGACCCCTGCTACCTTCATCCCCCTCCTCCCTCCTGTCCTAATCCTGTAACTTTTCCTCCTTTCCTTCCAGAAAATTGAGGAACAAGTCTGAGACTGGAGTAGAGACAGATTTCTCTCAGGACCTTAAAAGAATGTCTCTTGATTTTTTGATCCCTAGAGAGGGGTAGAGAGTATCATTCAACCTTTTTTTTTTTTTTTAAGTTATTTTTTTATTTAAGAGGCAGAGAGATGGATAGATAGAGCTCCCACCTACTGGTTCACTCCCTACATGCCCACAATGGCCAGAGCAAAACCAGGAGCCAGGAATTCCTCCCAGTTTTCCCATGAGGTGGCAGGGATTCAACAGCTTGAACTATCACCTGCTTCTTCCCAGGGACCACATTAGCTGGACTCAAACCCAGGTACTCTGTATGAGATTACAGCCATCTTAGCCTCTAAGCCAAATACCTGCCCTCAAGCTTTTCTAAGAACGCAGACTACAACAAGGACCAAGCCTCAGGAACTATTATGTTTCTTGGGAGGGCAAAGGGATCTTTGGGAGGGGCTGTCTCTGAACACAGTACCTTGTAAACCAGTACATAGAACTGGAGGTCAAACATGATTGTATGGGTCTAGACTTGGTCTCCTGGGTCTTTCTATCATGTCCTATTAGTCTGTTTTGCTCCTCTTATTTTTCTGTTATCTTTGTCCTTGGTACCCAGTTTCTTGGCCCTCAAAATAGTCAGCAATTGGAGCTTCAAAAGAGAGAAAGATTTTGGTAACTTACTGGGCTAATTTTGTAAGTCAGTTGCCTCATAGATCCCTGAAATGAGGTAGATTGTTTGGGGCATGAAACATAAATAATAAATATGTATATCTATGTTATGGACTTCTTTTTCCAAAAGCCCCAGTAAAGAATATGTTTCAGAGAGGCTGCAAAAAGGTGTGCCTGGCCTACTTAAGTGGGAGTGATGTCAAGAATAAAGCAGAGTTATGGACATGGGACTGGTTGACAGATGGTGGTGGTAAAGTAGAGACCACCCTCTGAGATGATTTGAAGACTGGGCAGCGTAGAGATGGAACGGCTGTGCCAGGGAATTATTCAGAGGAGGAAGTAAATGTAGAACAGAGCTTGGGGTGGTCTGGGATGCAGCCAGCAAGTTTAGCTTCCCTGAAGAAAAGCAGACATATTTAGCGACCCCTGTTACTCTCTGGAACTCCATTCCACAGGCTCTTTGAGCATGAAGGGTAGGGAAATTGCTGCACAGAAGAGAGGTCCTGAATTCCATGATGGGTATAGTCAGTCACCTGAGCCTCCTGACTTCTTTAGTGACCCAGAAATCCTGGGACCTCTGAAACTGTGGCCCTTTCTTGGTGGACTCAAAGGAAACCAGCCTCCTCTCCACTCCATCCATCCCCCTGCGAATGTTAAGACTGAGCCAAATTCAGGGTCTTGGCTAAGATGAATTCCGAATTACAGGGCAAATCCCAAGATTCTGGGTATCATTTGTTTCGTCCTGACTGCTCTGTCCTGTAGGCTGTCCTAGGAGAAAGGACAATGGAGTCCTGATCCTCTGCTAGTAGATCAGATATGGGGGACAGTGACTGGCCTGATATATTTTCTTCAGAGATTCTTCAAGTTTTATTTACCCTACAGATTGGCGGTAGTGCTCTCTACTTTCTTTGAATTTGTGTGGGGGTGGTCTCTGGTTTTGATCACAGGGATTATAAGACAATAAATGTTTGGGAGCAGAAAAAAACATGCCTTTTTTTTTTCTGTTTCCTGCTTTTCTTCTTAGTCGGGTGCTCAGCACACGATAGGCACGCTCTGCATATCATCAGCTGACTCTTCATGCGCCTTTCAATTTGTATCTATCTTGACTTCAGAAATTGCTGTTTCCTCCTAGGAAATTCTTTTTTTTTTTTTCCCTGACTGAATACACTTGATCCTCAGAGCCAGGAGACCTGGATTATAAACCAGTTCCTAGCAAATTCTGTGACCTTGACCAAGGAGATCCCTTTTGGATCTCGGTTTCTTCATCAGTAAAGTGAGAAGGTTGAACTGGATGATCTCTGAGTCCCTCCCAGCTTTAAAAATGCAACAAGTCTCGTACTTTCATTTTTGGGAAAGGTAAACTGATGTGAAGGGAGGGGGGATGTTGGATGAAGAACTTAGGAAGAGTTCAGAGGGTGCCAGCTGAGTGTTCAAAACCCAGTCTCCAGTATCAGTCATAGCCCTTGCCTCTCAAAACCACAAGGGATTAGATTGCTGGGTTTCTCAAATCCTGCGTTAGGGGAAAGGGTGCTGAAGTAGAGAGGTCTACCTTTTCTTTTAGTATTTCTAAGAGCCAGCTAGAGAGTATAGTCTATGGCTTTGAATGCCCTAATATGACTAACCTTATTTGTAGTGGCCTCTTTGTCTCTGCCATGTAGATCTTTAGGAGAATCCCAGTGTGGCTATGGACAGTAGTGAAAGCTCTGTGTGTTTCTGTGGTGGAGTGGCTCCATGGTGGTTGCTTGGAATGTTTGTGTGTGTGTGTCTTGATGTTGTCATGTACAGTTGTGTGTACTGTGTGCAGCTTTGCGTGGCTACTAATGCACTCCCGGCCTTGCAGGCTCACAGTGCACAGGGCTGTTCAGCACCACAGTGCTGGGTGGCTCCTCCAGCGCACCGAATCTTCAGGACTACGCCCGCAGCCATGGCAAAAAGCTACCACCTGCCAGTTTGAAACACCGAGATGGTATGTGGGTGGACTTTCGGGGGGCAACTCTTGTCTTCACTTGTCTCCCAGCAAGGACATAGTTGCACAATTATTCATGCTTAAGATGGCACTGACATGGGCCTGATAACAAGTTGTCTTCATCATTAATAGATGGGAGAAGGAACCAGGACCCCTTCCACCCTCCATTTGCATTCCCTCTCACCATACGAATACTACTTATTTATGCTTCTTCCCTTCATAATCTCCCACATACAGCCCTGCTGCATTTATTAGTCCTCTTTCCTGGATCCTGGCCTGTAGGAGTAAGGACTGAGGAGGATGATCCATGGTCAGGAAGAATGCAGTGGAACCTTGATTAAAACTTGGGAAATCATGTTCAGGAAAGGGGAAGGTGCTGAGCTCAGGCAGAAAGGGTGATGTAGAGAGAGATTGGAGGAAGGGCTGAAAATTGCACCAAGAATTTTATTTCCAAATGACCAGAAAGAAGACATGATGGTGAAATTAGCATTGTTTGTGGGGCCATATTTGTGGTGAAGATGATGTACAGATTACTAAGAGATTACACCAAAGGGAAAGATTGGAATATGATCTTCAGGAATCTAAGGGGTGGGGATGGGAGCAGTCCATATAACTAAAGAAAGGAATATATTGTGGGCAAATTCCATAGCAGAGTGTGGGGACAGGGGTGGTATAATCCCCATGATGTCTTTTCTCCCCAGAGCTCTTGTTTGTCCCGGCCGTAAAACGATTTTCTGTGTCGTTTGCAAAGCATCCGACTAACGGTACGTTTGCTCTGACTCAACATCATTCTTCCTCACCATGTCACCTCCAGACACTTAACCTCTGAGTTCTGACACTGACTTTACCTATCCTTCCACTGTGTTGACGCCCTTCTGTCTTTGAGTGAGCCACTCTCTAAGTGTCCCTCCAGGGACATCTCCCTTGTGACAACCTTAGCCTTGACTGCAGCCTGGCTGACTTATCCCTGTGGCAGCTTGGGGTCTTACTTCCATAATCACTGTCATCGCCATTATGTCACTTTTGTCAACATCACCACCAAAGCATTGATTACACCTCTCCCTTTCCTATCACATGACTGCCAGGCTTTGTACAGACATGGTAATGGTTCCCCCTTTTTAGGAAGAGAACAGTATTTCCCAGATTGGTCCAGTCTGTTCTCTACCCCACTCCTCAAGCTTATATAATTTTGGTCTTCCTGGTTTTTCTCCAGCTCTTTTGATGAGGTGGATGACTGGTTTGTTCCTCTTTTGGAGCAATGCAGCAGTTCCCAGCTCCCAAGCCTAATTATAAGGACGTTGGTCTTGAGTATACAGTTTCCCATCTCTGTATTCCTATCTCCTGCCATTGTGTGTACTTTGTGTGACTCTTGTGTTCCTGACATCTGCTTTATGTTACTACTAACCTAGTGCCTGGGCCTAGAAAATGAGAGCCCAGATTGCTTTGGGATAAAAGAAAAGGAAAGGAGCAAAACAAATAGTCAGTAAAGGAAGAAGACGGGTTTTTAAATGTAGTTTCTACATGACCCCAGCCCTACTGTGGCAAAGCTCCCTGACTTGGAGAAGCTTGAAGAGTTGAGATGTCTGCTGGGTATTCTGGGAGGATCTCAGAATGAATAATATTTGCAGAGTATTGAAGAACTGAGTCTGCCCACATGAAGTTAGGAAGGAATGTTTGGAGATCTGTGTAAACCAAAATCTGAAGGGCTGTGGTCTCCTCGTAGGGTATAGCAGAACCCAGGCCTCACTCTCTACTGAAGCTTTATCCTTCGTATTCTGTGTTTTGCATTAGAGCAAATCCAGTTTCGCTAGATATGGTTTTCTTCTGTCTTAAGATCTGAGACTCTCCTAGGGAGGTAAAATTAGCCTGTCTTCCTGGCCAGAAGACTTCTCCTGCTGAGCCCCTGCTACCTAGTCAGTGGTAGCTGCTAGAGTGGCCCAGTCAGGTAACACATCCCCATGAGACATTGCTAGATCTCTTGCTAGGTTATCTAGCGATATATGCTTAGCTCATCTTGGCCTCCAGGCTCTAACTTGTGCCTCAGTTAGGAGTCTCCATTCAGAGAGCTATGGCCTTACCTACTCATTTTGTTTCAAGCTTTTCTGGCCTTCATGGGCCACAGTCATCCCCAGAGTAGAACCCAATGCACCAACCACAAGCCTTGGACCTGGACTTAGGATCCAAAGTGTAGTATGAGCTAAGTCACATATCTCCTAGTTTCTTAGGTGCCTTAAGACAAGACCCAGGTTGATAAAATATCCTCAAACCTGTGTACCTCCAGTTCCTTGAATCTTTGGTTAGCAGCCTCACCAGTTGAAGAACAGAAGAACTAATTCTACCAAAAGGAGTTGAGGATGAAAGACCTGGACAACTCAGGTATAGTGCAGGAAAACAAATTCAAGATCTGCTCCAATACCCTGCACACTTCCTCTGGGGTCTTCTGGCCTCCTTTGTTTTTCTTGTGCTTGAGCTTGAAGGCTAGTGTGCTTAAGAAGCCAGAATCTGGAATCTACGTGCTAGCAACAGGAGAAATTTGGAGCTACTGTATCTCTTGTTGAAGATTGTCTTGACTGAATTTGGCTCTCAGGACAATGTAAGGGCTCTATCTCGTGGCCAAGTTCTTACCTGACTGACTTAGCAATTACAGAGTGGATATTCTATCTGTAATTGCTTGTAACTGATAAGTCACAGCACAGTATGTCAACCTGCTGTCCTGTCATCATCTCCTTATGATTGCCTGGCTTTGAAACAGAAGGAAGAAATGGGGCCTGGCTTTGGGAAGGAGGCAAGGCAATGCTGTCTACATTCTTTGATAGGAGAGCAGCTCTTAGTTTACCTCTGTCTTTGCTCCTGATAATCTTCTGTCATATACTGTAACTACATCACACAAGTATGGCCTGTTACTAAAATGCACACCAGACTCACCAAAGTAAATTAATAAAGGGGGAATAGACCATGGCTCACCTTCATCCAGAATGTCAGACTGTGCCTGTGTAATTTGTCAAGTCCATTATCTTCTAGGAACATACAACTGTGTGATCTGGTAAAATTGGTGCTCACCAGCCTATCCTGGGTAGAGCTGAAACCTGTGCTGACATTCAAATTAAGATCTCTGGAAGTTGTAGTCTCATGGATCACCCTCAGCTGCCTTTACCCTGCATTCTCTATACCAACATCCTATGCTCAAGTTCTTACCTGTCCTCATGTCAGATCTCAAGACACCTTGCCTTTTCCCAAGATCTTTCCCTACTGTTCCCGCCCCCCCCCCCTTTTTAAGACTTATTTATTTATTTGAAAGTCAGAGTTACAAAGAGAGAGGAGGAGAGGCAGAGAGAGAGAGAAAGGTCTTCCATCCTCTGGTTCACTCTCTAATTCCCCACAATGGCCAGAGCTGTGCCCATCTGAAGCCAGGAGCCAGGAGCTTCTTCAGGGTTTCCCACGCAGGCGCAAGGGCCCAAAGACTTGGGCCATCTTCTATTGCTTTCCTAGGCCATAGCAGAGACTGGATCAGAAGTGGAGCAGCTGGGACACAAACTGGCACCCATACGGGATGCTGGCACTGTAGGCAGCAGCTTTACCCACTACGCCACAGTGTCAACCCCTCCTTTTTTTGTGGCTTTTTTTTTTTTAAAGATTTATTTATTTATTTGGAAGTCAGAGTTACACAGAGAGAGGAGAGGCAAAGAGAGAAAGTGTTCCATCCACTGGTTCACTCCCTAATTGGCTGTGACAGCTGGAGATGCACTGATCTGAAGCCAGAAGCCAGGAATTCTTCCAGCTCTTCCATGCGGGTGCTGGGGCCCAAGGACTTGGGCCATCTTCTACTGCTTTCCCAAGCCATAGCAGAGAGCTGGGTCGGAAATGGAGCAGCTGGGATTTGAACTGGCACCTGTATGGGATGCCGGCACTTCAGGCGGTGGTGGCTTTACCTGCTAGGCCAAGTGCTGGCCCCCATACTGTTCCTCTTACACTCTTCACCACATGCCATTTACTCCATCAGCCTTGTGCAGCTGAATCGCATATACCCACGAAGTTTGCCCAGCAGCTAAAACCGTGTTAGGGGTTCAGAATCAAAGCTTTCCCACTCCCTAGCTGAAGTGGCAAGAAAAAATAAAATTACCTAACTTTTGACTTCTGTCATGGATACAGTGTCCCCCATGTCCTTATATTTAGGCATACTTTTAAAAGAACCTGTCTGTTTGAACAAGAGCAAGGTAAAGGATGATGAGTCAGCATGGGCATTTTCACGTATTGATTGCATTTTTCACATGCACTGTTTTAAGGGAGTCCTGCAGCTGCTTTGCTGCCAGTTTCCTGTGCCAGCTTGTGGAATCAGCCCTGTCTGTAGGTGTCTTAGAGGCTCACCTAGAATGCCTGGCCTGAGCCTTCAGGAACCCTTTTAGCTATAGATTATCTTGGTACCCACTTCTATTCATGACACTCCTCTTTGAAACTCTTCATCTCTATCCTAACCTCATAAATCCATTCGTCTAGGAAGGAAGCCCTAACAGGGGTTTGTTGAAGAATAATGATGGACCCTGGAGCCCTAATCAAAGCTCCCAGCCACAGAACTGCCACTTACCCCTGTCCAGAATGATGTGACTGCCCTCTGCAAGCACTGACTGAATGCTCGAAGAGGAAGGGGAGGGCCTTGCTGTATGACGAGGTCTCACTGGGCACTTCTTTTAGACTCGCCGTGTGATGCTGACCCTCTTCTTCCCTGTAAGAGATGCCCAGTGGCTCTCCCTGCTTCTCTTTTAGCTTACCTTGGATCTCAGTGGCCCCCACCTGCCAGGATCACTGTGCCAGTCAGTACCCCCCTCATTGTCTCTCCTTCTTCTTTTTCTTTATCTCTGTGCTTCCTGCCGTGATCCCCCCGCCCCCTCCAGAGCTGCTGGATGACCAGCACCCTGTGGTCCGGTTGCTGCGCAGTTTTTCCTCTGATTGCCCAGGGGGCCGGCCAGTCTCCTTGGATGCCACGCTGGCGCATCATCTGCACCAGTGCTCCTACCACCTGCGCCTCTTCCGGAACTGGCTGCGCTCAGGCCAGGATGACCCCGAGTGCCTCTACGGTACCCCCTGCCACCAAGCTGGCTGCTGCCACTACCTTGGCTGGGACTGACTGCTTTGCTTATTGCACTTCTGGCAAGAGAGCCAACCTTTTCCTCTCTCCTGTTTGCCCTAAGGTTATGTGACTCGTGTTTAGTTGCTTGTATGGGTTTGGGGCCAGACTGCCTGGTAGCTGTAGCCTTGGCTGCTCATCCCCTTCTGATTCTACTTTGTCACAGCCCCTTAAAGTCCCCCATTCCCCAATTCTGTTCAGTGTAGGAATAATCTCTTACCCTGGAATCTGTTCTTATCTTTCTAACCCTCCACTACCACCATCTTCAAATCCAGACATTTTTCTATACATTCTGAGTAGCTAGAGACTACCTGTCCTGCCCTCCTGCTATACAATTACAGGGGGGAAATTGAGGCACAGAGGCCTCAGTTGAATCCTTGAGACAAACAAGGGCCAGAGGTTAGAAGATGGTTAAATATAATCCTCTTGTGTTATGATTTTAGTCACTGGTGAACAGGAGGCTAAATCTTGCATAGATATTACTGTCCTGCATACTTCTGACCCTTTAAGGGGGTGTAGAGGACACACACACAGATTGGGAACTGAAAAAGTGGTTGGGATAAATGCTTCTTGATCCTCCAGTGTGGATATTTCTTCCAGCAATAGTTCCTGGGGATAGGGTGACACATTTAGTTTTACCCTTGACCTTATCCACACTGGTAAACCTGCATTGGAATACTTGACTTTAGAGCAGAGAGTCTGTATTTATTCTGACAAATGAGGTTTGCCTCAGTTTCTTATGTAGTGCAGCTATCCTTCAAGCCTGGGGCCTTCTGATAGATAAGAAGGGAAAAGCTTTGATGTGATGGAAATGACCAAGAAAGAACTTCCATTCCCCCCTGCCTGTTCATGCATGTGGTTTTCCTGGGCTGAGCTTCCTATGTATTGCATGCCTTCCAGTTTGCATCCAAGTATTCTAGCCTTTCTACCCACATCCTAAATTTGCATGAACTCCTCAGATTCCATGCCCTTCTCCTTAATTTGGTTCTCTTTTTCATGACACTCAAATTTGCCATTTCTTCCCAGCTCCATGACCTCCCTACCTCATGTTAGATCTCCTATTTCACCCCTTACCTCTGGATCCTTGTTTTATTCCCCCCAAAAGTGCAAGAGCAATGTTGGTGCTTACCCTGTTGGGATTCTGTTGATTTTTCCCAGAGGACATTGTAGGCTCTCCACAGGACAAGAGGTGATTTGATTCACCTGGAGGCCTTAACTGATAGACCTTGTAGGAAATCAAAAGATGAGATAAACAGATTCTCCTAGTGGCTATACAGAGTTCCCTCTTCTGAGAATCTTGGATATCCCCTGCTCCAAAAGCCAGACACTCTCCTGATGGCTCTCAGGGACTCTCCATACTTCTCAGCCATACAGGGTATATCTGGCAAGAATAACATTGACTTTGTCTATTTTCTAACAGGATTTGAAGGATGCTCCATGGTACCTACCATCTACCCCCTGGAAACACTGCATAATGCCCTTTCCCTGCGTCAAGTGAGTGAATTTTTGAGTAGAGTCTGCCAGCGCCACACTGATGCCCAGGCACAGGTATCTGCAGGTATGGAAAATATTATTTTGTACTCCTACTCTGCCCCCACTCCCATGCTTCCTAGAACATGCAAAAATAATACATTTAAAAGGTAGTTAGGAGCAGGCATTTAGTTTAGAAGCTGAGATGTCCACATTCCACATTGGAGCAACAGAGTTCAATTGTGAGTTCAGCTCCTGATTCCAACTTCTTTCCAATGCAGACCCTGGGAGGCAGTTGTCATATCCCCCAAGTAATTGGGCTCCTGCCTCTCATGTGAACAACATGGAATATGTTCCACCTCCTTCCTAGCTCCATCTCTAGCCATTAACAGGCATTTGGAGAGTGAACCAGCAGATGGGAGCATGCTCACTATCTCTCTCTCTCCCAAATAAATATTTAAATTTTTAAAATTTTCATTTTATTTGAAAAGCAGGGAAATTGTGTGTGTGTGTGTGTGTGTGTGTGTATAAGAGAGAGTGAGAGAGTGAGCAAGCTATCTCTTTTTGTTCACTGTCTCACTCCCCAAATACTCTAAACCAAGGATGGGCCAGGCCAAAGCCAGGAGCCTGGAACTCAATCTGGGTCTCCCATGTGGGTGTCAGGGACCCAACTGCTTGAGCCATCATCTACTACTCGCTAACGTGCACATTAACGAGAAGCTTGAATTGGAAGTAGAGCCAGGACTCAAACCAGGCATAACTGGTAGGGCATGCAGGCGTCCCTACTGGTGTCATAACTGCTGTACCAAATGCCCAGCCCTTCAAATAATTTTTGCTAAGTTTACAAAAGTAATTAGTGTAGACAGTCACCTAAATAGTCATTTCATGGAATTAAAATTGAATCCATTCCTGTCACTATATATCAGTAAACACTCCATGTGGATCAGAGTTCTAAATGTAAAAATCAAGCCATGTGGGGCTGGTGCTGTGGCGCAGCAGGTTAAAGCCCCAGCCCGCAGCACCGGCACCCCATAAAGGTGCCAGTCTGAGACCCGACTGCTCCTCTTCCAATCCAGCTCCCTGCTATGGCCTGGGAAAGCAGTAGAATATGGCCCAGGTCCTTGGGCCCCTGAACCCGCATGGGAGACCTAGAAGAAGCTCCTGGCTCCTGGCTTCAGATCAGCTCAGCTCTGGCTGTTGAGATCATTTGGGGAGTGGATCCACGGAATAGAAGACCTCTCTCTCTCTGGCTCTACCTCTCTCTGTAACTCCTTTAAATAAATAAAATAATTCTTTAAAGTAAAAAATCAAGCCATGTGGGTAGGTCACTCCAAAGGCTTGTTGTTCCACATAAACACCAGAACACCAACAAAAACTGTCAGGATCAACTTCGTCAGAAAGAAGCAACCTGGAAATGATGGGGAAGTTTTATAGCATTTTTACTTGTCCTTTCCCCAACCTTCCCACCCTCTACTCCAGCTTGGTAGTGGACTTTTTTTTTTTTTTTAAAGATTTATTTATTCATTTGAAAGACAGTACATGAGAGAGAAGTATCTTCCATATAATGGTTCATTCTCCAAATAGCTACAATAGCCAGTTCTGGGCCAGGTTGAAACCAGGAGCGAGGAACTCCTTCTGGGTCTTCCCCAGGGGTAGCAGGGGCCTTTACACTTGGGCCATCCTCTGCTGCTTTCCCAAGCACACTGTGGGAAGCTGAATTGGAAGTGGGGTAGCTGGGACTCAAATGTGCACTCTGATGCAGGATGCTGGCTCCCCAGGCGGTTGCTTACTTTGCTGCACCACAGTGCTAACCCCATTGATGGTGGTCTTGAAGATGTGAACCATGTTCTTAGTATGGGATCTGGGTCTCTGGTTTCAGAAGGAGCAAAGAAGACCTTGTTCTGAAAGAAATGTGTTTGTTCTAACCTGCTATGGGCTACATAAAGGACTTACATATGTGCTTATCTTTGTTTTGCCTAACTTGGAACTTACTCAGGGCAGAAAAGTGGGTATGCAGAAGTCCTTTCTCAAAAGCTCAATTCCTGCTGTGGCCTGAGGAAAAAAAAGTGTAACTGAAGCAAATGACAGCCATACTTAAACTCTGGGAAGAAAACCTGAGGGGAGAATTTCTTTGGAAAATTATGGAATTCAGAAACACCCACATAGACTTGGAAACTTAGAAACCCATATACATGCCTGCACAGAATGCGTGTACAGAAAAGACTTGAGAAGACCCTAAGTTTTCACTTCTGGCTGAACTCTAGATTCAGCTTGAGCAGGAAGTGAGTGAGGGTTAAGGGAGAGTTGTAAGTGATCTGGTTAAGTGTGAAAGAAGTTCCTTGGCATAGAACCGGCCCACATACACTCAGACAGCTTTCCTTCACCTCCACTTAGGCTTTGCTTTTCCTTTTTTGGTTGCTGGCATTCGTGAAAATCTGTCAAAATACTAACTGAATGCAAGCTAAAGGAACAGAGACTTCAGAAACCACACATGGCAAAGAATACAGACTTTACAAAAATAGCCTATAAAAGTCACTAAACAAGCAGCTAGGCAGAGCCCATAACAAATAATAGTAATGAAACCTAGAGAGGGGGAATAATTTGGCTTTCAAAGTTAATACAGCAAAATAATTGAAAATATCCATTTTCAATAAAAAATGTATAAAGCATAGAAAAACAAAAACAAACTCAAGAAAATGACCTAGTCACAGTAGAAATGAACAGAAATTGTTCCTGAGGAAGCATAGACATTAAATTTACTAAACATTTTATTTTTAAAAGATTTATTTATTTATTTCAAAGTCAGAATTATAAAGAGAGGAAGAGGGAGAGGGGAGAGGTCTTCCATCCAATGATTCACTCCCCAGTTGGCCGCAACGGCTGGAGCTGCACTGATCTTGCCAGGAGCCAAAAGCTGCTTCCGGGTCTCCCACGTTGGTGCAGGGGCCCAAGGATTTGGGCCATCTTCTACTGCTTTCCCAACCATGGCAGAGAGCTGGATTTAAAATGGAGCAGCCGAGTCTTAAACTGGCGCCCATATGGGATGCTGGCACTTCAGGCCAGGGCGTTAACCTGCTGTGCCATAGTGCTGGCCTCTACAAACATTTTACTTTTAAATTAATTATTTTCTTTATTTGAAAGTCAGAGATACAGCAAGGAATCTCTCATCTTCTGGTTCACTTCTCAAAATCCTGCAGTAAGCAGGGCTGGACCACGCCAAAACCAGGAGACAGGGACTCAGTTTGGATCTCCCATATGGATGGCTGGGACCCAACTATTTGAACTATGACTTGCTGTCTCCCGGGGTGTACATCAGCAGGAACTTAGAATGGAGAGTGAAGTGGGGACTCGAACCCAGACACTCCAATATAGGATGTGGGTATTGCAAGCAGCAACTTCACCACTGTGCCAAACATCCATCCCTAAGCAAGTAATTCAAATCAGCTATCTGAAATATGCTCAACGAGCTAGAAGAAATGATAGACAAAAAGCTAAAGGAAATCAGGAGAATAAATGGGAGTAAAATAACTAAAATGAAAAATTCACTCAGGGTTTTCATAGACAGAAGGAAGGATCAGCAAACTTGAAGATAAGTCAATTGAAAATATCTAGGCTAAAGAGCAGAAAGAATAAAGAATGAGAAAAAAATGAACATGAGGCTTGCATTGTGGCTGAACACATTAAACCACTGCCTCTAACACTGCATCCCACATGGGTGCCACTTCAAGTTCCGGCTGCTCCACTTCCAATCTGGTTCCCTGCTAACATCTGGAAAAGCAGAGAAAGATGGCCCAAGTGCTTGGACCCCTGCCACCTGCATGGGAGACCCAGATGGAGTTCCAGTCCTCCGGCTTCAGCTTGGCCCTGCTGCGGCCATTGCAGCCATTTGGGGAATGAACCAGCAGATGGGAGATCTCTCCCCCCCCACCCCAACTCTGTGTTTCAAATAAATAAATATTTTTTAAAAAATTTAAAAATGAACAGAGCCAAAGATACTTGTAGGACACCTTCAAGCATAACAATGTGTTCAATGAAATTCCAGAACGAGAAGAGAAAAAGGCAAAAAAAAAAAAAAAAAATTGAAGAAATAATGACTAAAAACATCTTAAATAGGATAAAAGATGTGAATCTAGATGTCCAATTAGCTCAACCAGCTCCAGTAAAGATAAATGTGAAGAGATCCATAAATTGTCAAAAGACAAAAAGAAAATCCTGAAATCTGCAAGAGAGAAGCAACTTGTCATTTACAAGATAACAGCAAGTTTCTCACCAGAAATCTTGGAGACCAGAAGCAGCAGGATGACACATTTATAATGCTGTCATTAACAGACTGTCAAATAAAAATTTTATGGTTGCTAAACTGTCCAAAAATGAAGGAGAAATGTATTTTAAAAAGTTCACACTTCCCAATTTGAAAATGTACTACAAAGCTGTAGTATTCAAAGTAGGGTAGGGCTGCCAGAGAATAAACATGTAGATAACAGAATTGAATCAAGGATCCAGAAAGGGGCCAGCACGTGGCTTAGCAGATAAAGCCACTGCCTGCAGTGTCAGCATCCCATATGGGCACCTGTTTGAGTCCTGGCTGTTCCACTTCCAATCCAACTCTCTACTATGGCCTGGGAAAGCAGTAGAAGATGGCCCAAGTCCTTGGGCCCCTGCACCCATGTGAGAGAGCCACAAGAAGCTCCTTCTCCTGGTTTCAGATCGGCACAGCTCCAGGAGAAGTGGCCATCTGGGGAGTGAACCAGTGGATGGAAAACCCCTCCCCCCCCCCGCCCCGCCTCTGCCTCTCTGTAACTCTGCCTTTCAAATGAATAAATAAATCTTTGAAAAATAAAAAAGAATCCAGAAATAGGGCCTGTTGTTGTGGCACAGTTGGTTAAGCTACTGCCTATGGCACTTGCATCCCATGTGAGCACCGGTTCAAGTCCCAGCAGCTCCACTTCTGATCCAGCATGTGCATAATGGGAATAAAAGATTTAATTGAAAGACAGAGTTATAGGGAGAGATCTTCCAATGGTTCACTCCCCAAATGGATGCAACAGCTGGGGCTGGGCCAGGCTGAAACCAGAAGTCTGGAACTCT